CGGCCAAGAAGCTGATGTAGACGTGCGCGCAGTGCCTGCGCCTTACTCTTCTCCCGCGCATCTAGAAGGCTTCCAAAGGCAACCACCTCGCGCCCCAGATTTCCCGTCTCCGTCGGACTGGCGCGGCGAGGCGCGGGCCCGCGGCGGTCGCGAAGCTGCGACCAACTCCGGAGTCGGCGACCATGCCAGATTCCTCATCCTGGGTCCGCAGTCTCAGTTTAAACGCGCCCCTCGTGAAATCATTGGCCGGGCGCTCAAGCGTCGGGGCGCCTCGCGCAGACGAGGCGCACCAGCTGAAGGAACGCGTCGCCCACGAGCGCGCGAGGGGCGATGCAGAGCGAGATGGCACTGAGCTGTCTCTGAACGCGGAGATTTAATAACAACAAAAGAACATACCCCTGTGGCGCGATTGCAGCAGGCTCGGGCTCCATTCCGCCGTGTAATAAATCCACTAGCATTTACGCCACTGTGATGCGACCCTTTCGCGCTTTGGCCTCTACCAAACGCTGTTCTGAAGGTGGCATCTCGAAGCGCTTGGCCACGCTGGGAGAAAAGCGCGAGCACAACGTCGTCGAACAAACCAGCCATCTCAGCAACGAGGTCGCGAACGACAGTGCTGTCAGAGAACCTGCGCCAAATCCTCGCACCCCGGACTTCCGAGCAGTTGGGGGCATCTTGCATTGCAAACGCGAAGGGATTCCTGATGTTCCCCAGACCGTGCAACACATCTTGATCAGAGCGGTAAGACGCGCGCCGCCTTCCTGGCTCCGCAAGGCGCGCCAAGTCGCGGACCGCCCCCCCCATCGTGCCAGGCCTCGCGCGACTTTAAACGTGCAACAATAATTAGAAAAACCTGATCAGGCAAGCGTAGCAGGGCGCGAGGGTGAATTCCCAAGAGCCCTGCAGCAGCGCGATCAGACTACGCGCGCGCCGCATCCTGCACCTCGCGCGCCGCGATGGGGCGTAGACTGGACTGGCGGCCAGGATCAGCCGGCAAAGCGAGCGGGGCATATTCGCTGGACGTCCAAGCCTCGATCCCAAGACGGATCTCCTCAGCGCCCAAAGCGGGCGCAGCCGAAGAGGCACCAGCTGTGAGGACTTCCTGGATCGCCTGCGCCATGGGGAACCGATGCGCACGCGAGGCCCCTGGCGCGAAGGCCCCCCTGGCGCGGGCGGCGAAGCCGCCGCTCGAAAGAACGGGCTCGCCTCGTCGCTCAACGGCTGGAGGCGGCGCCCTTTCTGCACCAGGCTTTTTCTCCACGAAGCGCAGGGCGCCCTGCAGCGAACGCAAAGACCTTGGCGAGCTGCATGGGCGAGAGGCGCGTAGAGAGCGCCCGCTGCCCGAAGCAGCTCGACCCCCTCGAGGACAGACAGACGCATCTTGACAATTTTCTTGGCCCAGCGATAGGGAAACAAAAGGTGACGCGAACCTGAGAACTCGGAGGTCCGCGCGGATTTCTCGGATCGGCGCTGGGGCCCCCTGGCGGCGCCTCCGGCGCCGCCCCCGGCGCGCTCCGCGCGCCAGGGAGGGGGGTCCAGCGCGGCCCCGAGAAATCCGCGCGGACCTCCGAGTTCTTACGTTTGTGTCACCTTTTGTCCCCCTATCGCTGGGCCAAGCAAATTGTCAAGATGTGTCTCTCAATCCTCGAAATGGTCGAGTTGCTTCTTATGTTTATGTCATTCTTCATGCCCCTAAGCGAAGCGCTGACACCCGCGCCCCAGCGCCGGGGCCTCCGCGCGCGTTCCTGCCGACGAACCTCGGGGGGCCGCGCGCGGCTGGCACCGGCGCCCAACGCCGCGCCCGCGAAGCCTGGGCGGGTCACGGGCTCTCTCCCTCGACGCCCTCGAGGGCCACGTCTCGCAGGGCTGGCGGCTGCCCCCCTGACCTGAATAACCGGCCTCGAACGCATCCCTATCCTTAAGATTAACAAGCCAAAAGTCGACGACAATCTTAAGGATGCCCCCTCAGAAACGGAGGGAATCTCTAAGATCGGCATCGAGACGAGGCGATGCCAATCATAGGGATAAGGATGTGTTCCAGGCTGGTGACTGAACCAGCGAGGTCACCTCCAGCGCGGCCTTCCGAGGGAATAGCGGCGGGCGCGCGCGCCGCGCTGGCGGCGCAGCTGGAAATGCCCCGGGGGCGTCGGCCACCGAGACCCACGCAGGTTGACAAGAGCAAGATCGAAAACCTAGATGGCCACGGGCAAATGCGGAAACGCAGTAGCTGACTCGTAGACCGCTGCATGCTGCCGCGCTGTGGGGACAATCCAAAAGCCGCGCAGAAAACAGTGTCAATGTTCAGCCGCGCCTGGCGACGCCGGCCGATGGGCATGCAGCTGGCGCCGTGCAGCCAGTCTGACTGAAAGCGAACGCCGATTTCCATGTTCCAGTCGGAACCGACCACCCGCGGCATTTGCAGGCACTCGACAGTCGTTCATGCCCAGCACATCTCCGTCCTTTACGTAGGCCGACAAAACAGATTCCCCTCCCGGCATGAAGAAATTGACGAGGGTCGCCCTGGAATAGTTGCGTGGAGCTGTACGCTTGGCGGCGCAGCGACAGTCGAGTGAAGCCGCGCTAGCGCCGCGACCCCTCCAGTTTCCCCGGGGCCCCCATCTTCATTCGGAACAGCTGGGCTCCACCACCCGCGAAACCCAGCGCCGAGCATCCGATCCTGCTTCTCGCCAAACCTGTCAGCTGGCAGGTGGACCTCTTGCGCCGACACTACTTGGGCAGAGCAATCCGCACGGTAGCCCACCATGGGGCCGAAATTGCCGGGGCTGCGGGTCGCCACCTGAAAAATGTTCGCCTCTGGCATAGAAGTAGGCGCTGGAACCGAGGTAGGCAGAGTGGGACCAGCGCGCGCGGACGTGAAATATGGAGACGTCACCGATGAGCCTGCGGGAGCCGCGGACGCACGTCGCGCCTGGCGGCCCGCTCCCTCTCCAACGTCATCAGGCGCGCCCGAAGGACAACTGGGGAACTCCAAACGCTGTGCTGTAACGTCATCCAAACCGACGGCGTCGCCGATGTAGCCGTCGATAGCCTGTCGCACCGAAGCGCGCTGCGCCGACGACCGAGGGCAGCATAACTACGATCCGCTGCCACCTGTCTGGGCCTCGCACCGTCGGCCTGAACGTTGGCTTGGGAGGGCCAAGTGTAAGAACGGATCTGCGTGCGCGTCGTCGAGTAAGGAAAACCGCGCACGTGGCGGGGCACTAGAAGGTCCCACCGCTGCGTCCGCATAAACTTGTAGTGTCCATCATGGTCGCCACCGTCAGATAACAAACCAACGAACGAGTTGGTACACCCGCCTGGCTAAGGACCAGAACGAGAGTTCTTGGCCACATTGGACACCGATGAGTTGTGACGCTTGTGGCTCTCCCTGAGCGCTGCGGCGAACGTTTCGCCCACCTCATCCGTGCCTTCAGGGGCCTCGATGCCATGCGCTAAAGGGTACGAGCGACATGTGGCAGCGTCGGAGGGACCCCACGTGCTTCAGAGCGTCATCGCCCGCGTCAACCTGCATGTCTGCCGAATCTGAAGAGAGTGCCCCTGGCACTGGGGCCTGTGACGTCTGAGTGGCAGGGACCTCAGGCTCTGGCTGGGCTCCGGGCGCATTCTTGAAATCCGCCACCAAAGCCACCGCTTTGAATTTGCCGAAAACTTGTCTGTGTCTCCCACGCCCAGACGAGCGAATCGAACTGCGACGCCCACCGTAGCCTCCAGACCAAGGGTCAAAGCTGCAGGTGGGGCGATCTGCACCAGTGGGAATGGCGGGGCTCGGCGGCCGACCGAGACTGAAGCTCCTCGTCAAAAGCAACGATGTGTTGCTTAGCTGCGGCCTTATCGTCTTCTGCTTGCTTGAATGCTGTCTTCGCTTTGTCAAGGGCCACCATCGAAGCCTCACGTTTAGTTGTGCCCCAGACCTTCTTGGACTTGGCAACCGCAAACTTGGGCGGACTTCCGAAGCCATATTTGCATCCTTTGAACCAAAAAAACGTTTCAGCTTGTAGCTCAAGCTGAACACACATCTCGTCAATCCGCGAATTTGGCGCACACTTCATTGTCCTTGGGCCCCAGGGCGGCGAGAATTCCCCCAATGTCTGCAACACGCTGATGTTTGTCACCGTCGGCCAGCTCAAGCTTACTCCATGGCAGTGTGGCTGGACTGCCACTTCCGTCGGCTGAACTATCATCTGGGTTCGTCCAGCCTGCTGTCGCCAATCCTGCCATCAACTCTTTGAGTTTGGCAACTGCTTGGCGAGCTCGGCTTCACAAGCAAAAAAATCATGGAGGCCGAACGGCGAGCCGGTAGCTTGAGAGGAGGGGCGCCTTTGAACGATGTACCCTTAGGAAGGCCTCGCTGCGAACACCAAGTGTGACCAGCTTTGACGATCAATTGACAATCCGCCGGCTTGCGAGCGCACCACTTACAGTGTGCAGCTCGTCTCTGTTTGGAGTCCATGCCGCCGCGAGGACAACCCACGCCAGAGGCGAGGAAAAGTCGTAGTACTGGGCTCGAGAGGGCAGCTCGCAGTTCCCCGCCAGGGCTCACGAATGGATATCGGGCGCTAGGCCTTGGCATCGCCGCGGACCAGCGGTATCAACTTTTTTCGCAAGAAATCTCGAAACCTTGAGCCGAAATGGCTACGGAGGGAGGAGGGGAGGGGGAAGAGAAGGAAGGGGGGAAGAAGGACGGAAGCGGAGTAGGAAGGAGAGAAAGAGGGTAGAGGGGGAGAGAGGAGCGATGGATGAGGGATATGATGGAGGATGTGAACATCTAAATGAACTCTAGCGGGAACAGTCCGCCTTCGCCGAGACGCCGCAACAGGGAGCTTACTCCCCGTGGACACGCCGAAGCTTGCCTGCCTTTTCAAGCCCTTCGGATAATGAGGGTTGAAGAGGAAGGCGGAGAAGGAGATGGAGGGAGAGACGGGGAGACGAGGAGGGAAGGCGCAGAACGTAGAATCGAGCAGGGATCCCCGCAGCGCTGCCGGGCCACCGCGGTTGGCGGCCCCCTGCGACATGAACTCCGAGCCCTGTGACCTCGGCCCCCCCTTCCTCAGACATCCATCTTGTTACGCTGCACAAGCATTGGCGGGATGGCCGATGCGTATTCATACAATGGCCTGGCACCAATCTCCAGAACCCACGAACAAACATTAAATACGAACTCGAATCACGACAATGCAGGCTAAGCGGCACTAGAAATGCGAGGAGAAACGGGAACGCTGAGAAATCCGCAAGGGTGAGACTAGTAGCCGACATCCATGTCCGCCCTCTTCTCCTCCTCCTCCTCGCCCTCCTCCTCCTCCCCCTCTCCTCCTCCTCCTCCTCCTCCTCCTCCTCCTCCTCCCCCTTCCTCCTGCTCTCCACACTCCTTCCGTATTTGCAACTCCTTCCCGTCGCGCCGCGAGGCGTTTCGCTAGGACGGGTGGGGCTGTCTTCCCGCAGAACATGTTGGAACCTCCGGTAGCTGCGCAGAAGGAAAGCGAAACACTCTCAGACCGTGCTTCTCCCCAGTCATCCGTTTTGAACGCTTGCGCTGCTACGCGGGTGAAAGGCGCGTCCGTTTGCCAATCTGGCTTTCGAGTTGGCGCCCCGCGCGCCCGACGGTACAACTTTCAAACAGCTCTGAAGGTGGAGAGCAAGGGCTTTTAAAACGGCGGCCATCCCTTTAAGGCCACGCACATGCGTTTCAAACATGTCCAGCAATTGCACGCAGGGGCGGTGAACCGTTTTCAACACAACCCATCGCCGAGTAGCCCGTCATCACGTAAGCCAGACAAACTAACCATCTGCAACAATTATACGGGTGGAGTGTGACCCCTCGCCGCGATACCATCAACCATGGCTCGATTCGTTCTTCACCTGCCTGGCCAGGGGCTTCTACACGCGCGCCAGTTCAACGGACCGACGGCGGCCGCGTCTAGAACTGCGGATCTCCCTTGCCACGACCTTGGAACGCCAGATCGTACATGGCGTTGCTCCCAACTACATGGGTACATGGATGGAGGGCGGCTTCCTTTCGAAATTGGGTTCTCGCCTCCATGGGTCCATGGGGCGTTCGTGCTTTGGCGGGGGCGCTCCCCGGGAGGAAAACACAAAATGAGGGGGTGACACCGGAGTGACACGGAGCGCCCCCCAAGCGGAACATCGATTTGGGTTTCGGTCGTGCCACGCACGCGGGCGAAGCAAAATCGCGCGACGGCGCTACAGAACCTGCCTATGGCAAGGTTGCTCTCGCTCCCACCCTCCGCGGCGCAAGTGTCTCGAGGTCGTCCCGCGGCTCTCGTGTGTGCTTGCCCCGTGATTGATCTGGTGACTGGCCCGTGTGGCTATCCCACGGTGGTGTCGTGCAGCCGACCCGTGGCTCTCCGATGCCTGCCCTGTGGCTAGAATGAGGTTTTTTGGTCTGCGGGTCGAGAGCGGGCCTCTTCCGGTTAAGGGCTAGGCGGGGCGCGCAAAGCACTATGTGGGGAGACAGGGCGCGGGCGGGCGGGGCCTCAGGCGGCCGGAGGGAGCGGGGTGCAGGCGGTGCCGAAGAGCTTGCACAGGAAAAGGTACGCCTTGGACAGCGGCCAGAGTGAGGCGCAGTCGCGAATCTGTGGCTCCAGTCGCGCGGCAGTGGCCCTGGCAGGACGCTAGGCCCTGCGAGCGAACAGCGTGTGGCGCTCCGCTCCGCGGGGCGAGGGCGGAAAAAGCTAGCGAGGTTGGCGCGTGAAGTGGTTTGCGTTATGTCGGGCGTGTCCCCCTACAAAGGGATCTTCGACGACAGATAAAAAGTACCCCAAAGATGCCCCAAACAGAACAAAACATACTCCAAAAATAGTCCCCGGACTATGTTTGGAATATGTTTTGATTATTTTTGGGGTACGTCTGATTTTTCGTAGAAAATCCCTCTGTAGGGGGACAGGCCCGACTTAAGGTTAGCGTGTCGCGCTGGAGCATCATGGGCCAAAACCGGCGGCGCGACACGCTGAGCCAAAGCTCCTGACCGTGGTGGGAAAGCTCGATCGTTGGTTGGATCTTCGTCTTGGTGTGTAAGTACTGAGAACCCGTGGCTCCTATGTTCTCGTCGCGGAGATCTCCATGGGTACAGGTGACACATTTTCCAGGCGGCTGAGTGCGAGTGGATATGGCTGAGAGCGAATCTGGGTACGGGTGGGCCATAAGGCACAGAAGGCACGCCTGATCGACTTCCCCTCGGAGGCCTCCTGTCGCCAGGAGGTCGGGACCCAGGGGGGGAAGTGACTGCGCAGCGGAGATCTAGAGTGACCTCGAGCTTCTAGATGTAGCTACGCATGTGGTGATATCCACCGCTCTAGCATCGATATCGCCGTGGAGCCCGGCCTGAATTAAACGGGTTGCGCGTGATTCTAACCATCTTAGCTCCGCCCACTTAACATGGCCTAGCCTGTCTGCCCGCATCCGCGGGCGCAGTTCCCAACCCACATCGCAAGTCATTGGGCTCCCAATTCCCCCCATGGATTGGAACGACACGGGTCGCCATTTGGGAAGGGTACACCCCCAAACCCTACAGCCTTACTGGAAGCGTCCTAGACACAAACTGAGATCGGGCATGTGGGCGACCAGCTGTAATCAGGGAACGAATGGCGACCCACCCCTTCAAACGAATACTTGCTGTCTGTATCGGTCCCCCCAACCGGGGCTCTCCACGTCGAACTGCGCTGCGAGGGTCCCAGGGCCCCAGCGACGGCATCCGACGGCCGAGGCCGACCCGGTCTGTTTCGATGCGAGCGTCGTCTGGGCTCGAAGACGCGGCTAAGCCAGTGGCAGAGATCCTCCTCCGCAGCCGCCGCATCCGCCCCAGCCGCAGCCGCCGCAGCCGCCGCAGCCGCCGCAGCCGCCGCAGCCGCCGCAGCCCGAGCCCATCGCCGCCGAGCCACAGCCGCCCCCGCCGCAGCCCGAGCCCATCGAGCCCCAGCCGCCGCCTCCGCACGGCGAGCCGCCCATGGACGCCGAGCCCCAGCAGCCGCCTCCCCCGCAGCCGCCTCCCCCGCAGCCGCCTCCCCCGCACATCGAGCCCATGCCGCCGCCGCAGCCGCCGCAGCCCGAGCCCATCGAGCCCCAGCCGCAGCCTCCACACGCCGAGCCCATGCCGCAGCCGCCGCACGCCGGGCCCATGCCACAGCCGCCGCACGCCGGGCCCATGCCGCAGCCGCCGCACGCCAGGCCCATGCCGCAGCCGCCGCACCCCGAGCCCATGCCGCAGCCGCCACACGCCGAGCCCATGCCCCAGCCGCAGCCACGGCCGCCACACCCCGAGCCCGTTGAGGTTGTGCCCCAGCCTCGGCGGTTGCCAGGGGGGGGGGGGAGCTTGCGGCGCCACGCGGGGGAGGAGAAGGGAGGCCGAGGTCTGCGCAGGAGGGGGGACAGGAGGGGGGGCACGGGAAGACCCGCTTCGAGCAAGCCGGTCGCATGTTGCTGCTCCAGCCGTGTCCGAGAGGAGAAGAAAACGGTGCCGACGCGGTCCAGGACCCCCCCACACACACACCAATGAAACAATTTGGAGTATGGAGAGAGGGAGAGAAGACAGGGAGGAGGAAGGGAGGAGGGAGGGAAGGACAGATAGAGAGAGAGAGAGAGAGAGAAGGAGCGGGTAAACACACGAAACGTACCGACTACGGTTTCGAGTAGCCTGCTCCCGTGAGACAGCACGGCAGCCCACAGAAGGCACATCGCCGCGTTAGTATGGCCATCTCTGGGACTCTAGTCGAGCTCTGGCTGGAGGGGGCCCCAAGGTAATAACACAGTAATGGTAGTGTCTGCGTGCTGGGCTCTGGCTGGAGGGGGCCCCAAGGTAATAACACAGTTATGGTAGTGTCTGCGTGCTGGAAGCTCACGTCGTGACGACGTGGGCGTTGTTGTTGTTGTTGCTGTTGATCTGACACCTCGCCGATCGTTCAGCCCCGAGCGGATCGCGGCTTGCCGACAGCACACATCGTCCGATGTTGGCAATTTCTGAGCAACTGGCGACATTCAACATGGATTAGCATGGGGGAAGCCGGTCCTTAGGGAAAAGGGTCCTGGACCCCGACCAAAACTTTCATCCTGAGTCGTCTTCTAAGAGTCCCAAGGACCGTGGAGGGTCATGGAAGCCCACAACCGAAACAACAAAACAACTAATCTGAGGACCTTAGCCGCCCCGATACGCAACCCGCACCACGTAGCGTGTCGACACGGAGCCCAACACGTAGACTGAAGACGTAGGTTTGGCGCCATACGTTCGCCAAAACGTGGGCCACCACGCTGAGCCAACGCGCCGCGTATTCACACGCACGTCGTGAACACGGCACGTGCTGCGTTTCAAAACGGGCGTATCACGGCAACTATGCTCAGGACCCGTTTCCCTCAGGACTCGCTTCCCTAGAGGTACAACAGCATACATAAACAGAGACTAATGGCGGAGCGCCGAAAATGTACGTATGTGCCGTTTACTCCTCTTCGAACTATGCTCAGGACCCGACTTGGCGGCGAGCGAGGGGGGGAAATGAGAAGGAGAAGGCCTTCCCAGAAGGCGGCGGGACTTCTCGGAAACCCCCGCGCCTTCTGAGAAGTGTTTTCTCTGTGTTAGGGGAAGTCTTGAAAACATTTCTCAGAAGGCCGGGGGACTTCCGAGCCGTCTGCAGAGGCCTCCTAGATGGGGTCGGAGCAGATGGGTCGGCGGATCGCGCCGCATCGGCGATGCATCGGCGATGCATCGGCGATGCACCGGCGATGCATCGTCGACGTGGGCACTGCAACGGCGACGTCGACGTGAAGCAATTCGGGCTCCGCATCGAGCCGCAGCGAAGATGCATCGGCGACGCGGAGCGATCCTCCGACCCCATCTACTCCGACCCCAGCTGGGAAGCCTACAGTCGGGCTGCTGAGTTCAGGAACGGAAAAATAGGGAACGAAGGCCCTTTTTGACCCCAACAGCGCCTGCGTGCACGAGGAGGGCTCGAGGAACAGCCATAAAAAGGACCTAGAGAACATCGAGCCCCCCTCCGAACCCAAACTGTTCCTTATTCCAGCGTCTTGGCTGTAGATCCTCGCTCCCATCCCCTCGGGGATCTTCTGACCCGGGTCAATCCAGACCCGGGTCAGCAGGAAACCAAAAACTGCAATGCAAGAACAAAAAAAACTGCAACGCAGGCCTTCGCAGACCCGGGTCAGCCAACATGGGCGGCCGCCTCGCGGCCACGAGCGGCTCGCTAACCCGGGTCAGCCAAAGGGGGTCTTCGCAGGATCCTGCAGTTTGGACGCCCGAAATGGGTACGGAAAGAATGGGTACTATGCCCAACAACCAGTGTTGTCCCAAACCAGCAGCGGCCACTGCTGGCCCGGCGGCCTTCTGTCTCGCATGGACACGGGCCGCGGCGGCGCGGACAGCGAGTCCTGCCCAAGATGAACAGGAACTGCTCTTGGGCATTGTGCCCATTCTTTCCGTGCCCACTTCGGGCGTCCAGAGCTACGCCTCGCCGCGAGCGTTCTGGGGGCGCCCGGACCCTCCCGAGCGGCAGCGGGGAACCCCAATTCTCGCCCGAAGTGTAAACGACGAGGACCTTGGAGGGGGCAGGCCTTTGACGCCATTCGGCGGCGCGCCGGAAGCCCCCCACCCCATCGCGTGGTGACGGACCCCATCGCCATTCTTTCCGTGCCCATTTCGGGCGTCCAGATAGAGCCTCGCTCCCGGCCCCCTCGCTCGCGGACGAGGCCGGCGATGCCTGGGCGGCGGGCGGCACTCGAGAGCCCGGGATCGCCCGCCGGCCGCCGCCGCCTTCGGCGACCCCCTCCGCGGCGCGGGCCCGCCCGCGGCGGAGGGGCAGGCGGGCCGGTGCCGCCGCCGGAGGTCAGCACTGGGCCGGGCATGTCCCCCTGCAGGCGGGGCTTGGGACGAACAGTTAAAAAAAACTCAAAACAGACTCCAGGATCTGCAAAACAAAATCGAACAATCGTTCCCCTCCTCACTATTTCTGGATTCTTTTTGCAGATCCCTCCTGTAGGGAGACAGGCTCGCTCGACTTAAGTCAAAGGCCGGCACGAGAGACACAGGGGGCGAGGGCACCCTCTCGGCCACACGCAGAGGGGGGGCGGTCAGGGGGGAGAGGGGGCGGGGAGGGCTTCTCGGGAGGAGGCGCTTAGGATGGGGGGGGGGAGAGAGGGGGGGAGGAGGAGGCTTCTCAGGGGGGGGGAGAGGGGGGGGGCGGGAGAGGGAGAGGGGGGGGAGGGCTTCTTAGAAAACGCGGGCCTTCCCTATAAATCCAAGGCTGGCGCCGTCTAAGAAGCAGCCTCCTTCTAAGAAACCCTCCCCCCCCTCCCCCTACGGTAGGAGCTCGGCCACAAGAAGCCTTCCAAAAAGAGAACCCAATCCCGAGACCCCAGGGCGTCCATTGATATTTTCGGTGTGGGAGCGCCACGCTTTCCGTGGCGAAGCCGCCGAAACCCAACAAACCCAGGGCACCCAGGAGGCACGCAGGGCTTTCCTTGGCACTGGTTTCCGCTGTACCCCTCCCTCCCCCTGCCCCCCCCGGTGCGCGTCGCCAGCCCTTTTTGTTGCAGAGCGCTCCACCCTCCGCGGGGGGAAGTGGCGGTCACTGCACAGGCCAAGATTGATAGCAAGGATGCGCGAGAGGGATGCGCGCCCCATGGACGCCCGGGCGGAATCTTTTCCGAGCACGGCGGGCCCTCGGAAGTGGTTGAGGACGGACCGAAGAGGCACGGATGCAAGGGCATCCTCGGGAAGGCTACCCATCCTTGCCATCCGTTTTGACTTGATCCCGTCCGGAAGAAACAGCGGTCAGGTGTCAGGGGCCCGGCCCACCCCTGCCGATAGAGGGGGAGGAGGAGGAAGAAGAGACAGGGGAGAGGAGGAGGAGGAGGAGGAGGAGAGCAACAGACCCAGCCCTGCGGCGGCTCACAGCCGCGCAGCTCGAGACACGGCGCGTCCCGGTCCAGGAGGACAGAGTCGTGCCGCACCCTGCTGTGCTGCCAGACGACGCGCGGGGGCGAGCAGACCCACTCGCGGTGATTGGACAGACGGGCGGGAGGTCCTTCGGTCACGACTGCAAGACGGGAGCGCGCCACGGCGCACCGCCAACAAGCACTACCGGGGGGGTTCGTGCACTACGGGGGGGGTTCGTGCAGCCCGCACCGGGTGCCGTCAGCGGCTTAGAACACCCCCCCCCTTGCCGCTTTACCGGGGGGGTTCGTGCAGGCCGCATTGGGTCCTCCCCTGTCGCTTTACCGGGGGGGTTCGTGCGGGCTCCCCCCCCCTGTGGGAGTGGAGGGGTGGGAGTGGGGGGTGGGTGGGGGGGGGGGCAGGGGGGCGGTTGGGAAGGGTGGCTCCCTGTCGAAGTGTGGCGTGTGCTCGCCTTGTGTTCTCCATTCGCGTCTGCTCGCCTTTGTTCCGCCGCAGCCTCTCGTATTGTGGCTCGTGGCCCCAATACGAGAGGCTGCGGCGCAACTCCCGAGAGCCGCTGTGGGGGGTCGACGGCACGGCCGCGTAGAGAAGAACAGTGCCGCCGTGTTCCGGCACGGCCCTGGGATGCAATGCCGCCGCCGTGTTCCGGCCCGTCCTGGTAAGATTCGGGCGTCGGGGCTGGGGTTCGCGCGTGCCGGGAGCGCGCCGCTTACGGAGGGGTTGCGTCCTTACTGGGGGGGTTCGTGCAGCCTACCAGAGCAGGTCGTGTTTACCGGGGGGGTTCGTGCAGGCTCGCACCGGGAATGGCGCCAGCTCGAAATCCCCCAGGAGAGATTACCCAGGGGGGGGGTTCGCTCCGCACCGGGCACGCCGACATGTATATATATATATATATATATATATATATATATTTAAGTGCGAGTGGCGCGGCCGCTGCTGCTGCTGCTGCTGCTGCTGCTGCTGCTGCTGCTGCTGCTGCTGCTGCTGCTGCTTGACTCACCCGCCCCCCTCCTCTGCTCTCTCCGTCTTCCGCCATGTCTGGCTCAAGGCGAGCTCCTTGCGGCCGGCACTCGGCCTGTGCACGCGCGGTCCAGCAGACCGAGTGGGCGCCTCGCGGCCGTGCTCGGAGAGTATGCCACAACATGCCAACCATCGATGCTGCTCCTCCCAATCCTCTCTCTCTCTCTCTCTCTTCTCGTGTTTCTCATTCCCATCGTCACCACTGGGCGGGCCAGCCAGGGCAACGGGAGCTGTGCTTCCTCGGCCGGTCCGGGAACGTCGACGTTGTCGACGTCGGTCGTCCTCGCCGTCGTCGTCCGACCAGCGCGCGCGTGCCGGCGGCGCGCGCCAGGGGGTAGGGGGATCGAGGGGGGGAAGGCTTCTAAGAGGGAGGCCACTCCTTAGAGGGCAGCGGTCGTACGCTGCACAGAAGGCCCGCGCCTTCTGAGGAGCAGCCTCCTTCCCAGACGCCTTCCCCCCTCCCCCTACCCCTCTGTTGTCCCGATCGTGCTGAAGGGCCAGATTCCAGGATCAATCTCGAGCACCCAACACAAGACCGACACGGTGTCAGCCCGACGCCATGGCGAAGAGCCGAGCGAATAGCGCCTCCCAGGGCCCGACACGTGCAGACCCTCTGGCTTCGGTACTCCCCTGGTGCTCGAAATCCTGTCTGGTGATCAAGGCTAAAAGAATACAGTAGGGGCTCAACCACGAGAAACCTTCCACAAGAAACCCAACCCTGAGACCCCAGGACGTCCATCCATGTTTGGTGCGGAAGCGTGATGTTTCCCATGGCGAAGCCATCGAAACCCAGGAACCCAGGGCACCCTGGAGGCAGGCAAGGGTGCTTCTCGGCGTGGGCCTCCACCGCAGCCTGAAACATCGTGGCCCTGCCCCTCGAAACCCAGGAACCCCGGGCTCCTCCTCCTCCTCCTCCTCCTCCTCCTCCTCCTCCTCCTGCCCCCTCCTCCCCCTCCTGCTCCTCCTCCCCCTCCTCCTCCTCCTCCTCCTCCTCCTCCTCCTCCTCCTCTCATTCTCCTCCTCCTGGAGGCAGGCAAGGGTGCTTCTCGGCGTGGGCCTCCACCGCCGCTTATAAACATCGTGGCCCTGCCCCCCCCCCCCCCCGCGTGGCCGAGTCTGGGCCGCGCACCGCCGCCCAGTGCGGAACCCCCGCCGCTCTGCCCTCGCCGCGCGCGCGCGGGCAGAGGAGGCGGAGGAGGAGGAGGAGGAGGAGGAGGAGGAGGAGGAGGAGGAGGAGGAGGAGGAGGAGGAGGGAGGAGGAGGAGGAGGAGGAGGAGGAGGAGGGAGGAGGAGGAGGAGGAGGGAGGAGGAGGAGGAGGGGGAGGAGGAGGAGGAGGAGGGGGAGGAGGAGGAGGAGGAGGGAGGAGGAGGAGGAGGAGGAGGAGGAGAGGAGGAGGAGGAGGAGGAGGAGGAGGAGGAGGAGGGGGAGGAGGAGGGGAGGAGGGGGAGGAGGAGGGGGATGGAGGAGGAGGAGGGGGGGGAGGAGGGAGGAGGAGAGGAGGAGGAGGAGGAGGAGGAGGAGGAGGAGGAGGGAGGAGGAGGAGGAGGAGGAGGAGGAGGAGGAGGAGAAGGGGGAGATGGGGGGAGGAGGGGGTGTGGGGGGGGTCGGAGGCTCGCTGCTGCGCTCCGCTGCTGCTCCTCGCGGCGTGGGGCGCCCGGAGGACCTCCCTCCGCAGAGCCCGCGGGAGTTCTCGGCGGCCTGCGGCGGCGCCCATGGAGCTCCTGGCGGCCTTGGGGAGCGTCCCGGGCGGCTTCCCGGGCCCTCCTGCGGCCTCTTCTCCCCTCGCGTCGGGGCGTCGTGAAGCAGGAAGCCACGGCGGGCGTCTCCGTATCTGGCCGCAGGCCTCTGGGGACCCGCCCGGATCCATCTGGCTCGAGAAACTCGAGATAGTGCTGGGGGTATACGGAGGTCCGGTCGTGGTTTGTTTCGCGGCGCTGTGGCGTTTCCACGTTTGGAGTTCTGGCTGTGGATCGAGAAGAAGACAAGCGACATAGCACCAACCGTCGGAGGTCCGCACGGAGTTCTTGGGTCGGCGGCGGACCTCTCCTACCTGGCGCGCGCGGCGCCAGGGGTGGCGCAGGGGTCGCCGCCAGGGGGGGGCCAGCGCCGACCTCCAGGAATTGGTGCTGCTTTTCTTGATGCTCCATCTGGGGGCTCGGGCAGCCATGCCGATGTGTGATTGCGGAGCGGTCCGAAGCCTGGGCCGACTTGGTGCCAACAGTGCCTCCCACGCTGGGCACATGTTGTCCGGGCGAACTCGAGCACGCGCCCTTGGTGTGAGAAGCGGGGAGAGGCTCCTGGAGGATGCTGCAGAAACGCTGGGCTTACTTTGCAGCACATATTGGATAATCACTTCGCATGCTCCCATCCCCCCCAATCCTTAATCTTGACCTGTTGGCCGAGAACGCCAGGCCACAAGCAGGTTGGAGCCCGACGCTACGCGTGCAAATCATTCCAATGCTAAGGCCATGGGGTCGACGGAGGAACATATTTCATCATAGCTCGGACGCAAACTATTCAACCAGAAGATCCTTTATTATATTATCTGCGCAGCTGTGCTTCCACTCGATGTCGAGGGGGGGCTTGTCTTCATAGTTCGCACGCGAAATATTTGTATCCACCAGGGGGTCCTTGATTATCGACGCAGCTGTGCTTCCACTCGGGTCGAGGGGCGAGCTGATGTCTTAACAGCTCGGACGAAAAGTATTTGCATCCACAAGAAGATCCTTCATTGTCGGCGCAGCTTCGGGAGCGGCCAAGAGGGGGGTGTCCAAGAGGGGGGGGTGCAAATCATGACCGGCGGCATGTGCGCGGCCCAGCGGGGGGGCCAGGGACGTAATGAAATAAGAAGAGGCGCCATGAAATCTGGGGAGATATCATGGCCCACGCCATGATATCCACCCTCCCCTAGTCATCACCCCCCTCTTTTCCGCCCCCGACAGCTGTGACTCCACCCAATCACGCCCGCACTCAACTCGCCATCGCTCGCACGTCCCTTCCCCGTGCGTCCTTCGATGTCGTGCGCTTTTTTTTTTGCCCGAGGCACCGGGCTGCTCCTCGAGGGCCCTCGCCGAAAGAGTGCACACGCCGGAGCGATGCCGAGCCAAAGGGGGCACTCGACCAGGGGAGCCCGGGACAGCCTGCCGGCCAGGACCTCGGACCGCACAGCGCGGCAGCAGCACTGCGCGCGCAGCCCCTCTCGCGTGCGCCAGGGTGCTTTCGACGCTGGTCGGGGGCGTCCGGGCGGAGGGCATTCCGGAGGGGGGGGGGGGGGGCGCAACTCATGGCCGGCGGCGCGTGCGCGGCCAAGGGGGGGGGACGCACTGAAACAAGAAGAGGCGCCATGAAATCTGGGGAGGTATCATGGCCCCCGCAAGGATATCCCCCCCCCCTAATCACCACCACCCTCTGTGCCGCCCCCGAGTCGGGCAAGCCTTGTGGATAACTACTACGGCTACTACGGGAAAAGCCACGCGACCCACTCAGACATCCGAAGTCGCGATCATTTCAACAGGCGGGCCCCTGGAACCGAACATGGCCTCCGAGGCCGAGAAAGTGAGAGAAATCGTGATCTTTGCAATGTCCAAGGCTGTAGCAAACAAGCAAGGCCACGCAGGACAATCGGTGCCCGTGTTCCTGTTTGGGCGGCGCAGGCAAAGGGTTCGCATGGCACTCGTCTTCGTCGTCGCCACCGCCGTCACAACGGTGGTAGTCTGCCACCGCCGCGCCGTTGACATCTTCTTCGTCGTGATCGTCATCCTCGTGGTCATCTCCATCGTCGTCGTGGTCGTGGCGGCAGTCATGGGCTCGGCTGGTCCTGGCAGTCTCAGGAGGAGAACGGGGCGGGGGGCAGGCCTGAAGGCCGAAGCTCGGCGAGGGAGGACGACGAGTGCGGGGAGCATACGGAAGATAGCGAGGAGGAAGATTGCGGCAAGGCGCCCCGGCCACGCCCACGAGTTAGCGTGGCCCTAGTTGCACTCACCATGCTTGGATGCACTCGGGTGGAGGTCCTATCCTCGCGCAGAGGGCGGATGCGCCAACGCGCCATGCTCAAAGAGACAGGCGCGGTGGCTCCGCCGAGTGGCAGGCCACCTCGGAATCCTGACAGACTCTGTCGCACTTGCTATGCAAGCACGGGCGCGCACTGGTTTCGCACTCGCTGGAGGGCGCAATCCGCCAACGTTCGCGAACACTTGTGGGCCCCTCTCCCGGCCGAGGGGCGTGGCAGGGTTGCTCATCCCCGACGGGCCTGGCCTGGGCGGGCCTTGCGCGGTGAAAATGGGTAGGGCGGTAGTGTGTAGACGGCTGCCTTGGGCAGGCTGGGCGGTGGTGAGGGCCGAAAATGCTCGGGCAAGTAGGGCCAGGGCTTGAGAGGGTGCCGAGGACAGTGGTGAGGGGACAGCGCCTTCGAAGGGGGGTGGGCGGGATAGGGCCAGGGGAAGGAGGCGGGGCGTGGACACTGCAATTGTGGGTAGATGGAGGCCCGTGTTCCCGCTGGCCCTTGCTGACCCTTTTGCTGCAAGTTTCCGCCAGCCTCAGGAACCCGCAATATTTCATGCCACGGCACACGCGAGCGAGAGTAAGGAGGAGGAGGCGGAGGAGGAGGAGGAGGAGGAGGAGGAGGAGGAGGAGGAGGGCGAGGAGGACAAATTGCAGGACGAGGAAGGCGAACCGTCCACGCCGAGACTTTTCACCTACTAGCTCACAGTGTTCTGCATCTTGGTGTCTGGGCACGATCTGTATTCCGAGAATGGCATTTAGCTATGCAGGGCGTTCCACATTCTGGGCTGACGTGCAGAACTAGATGCTCTTCCCGTTGTGTGGAAAGCCCCCCTTGCTGTACTTCGCGGCGCCTTGTTCGGCATTATGATGTCGCACTCCGCTCGTCAGTTGATTCGGCGTGCCTTGGTTGCCTCCCGTGGAGCTCTACTGTGCGCGTGGTATGCCTGTTGTCGATGGGCGCGTCCTGGTTGATGACCGACCCTGCTACCGCGAACTTGGCGAGTGTGGGGAGGGCCGGTTCAGTTCCCGGTGCCGGAGGGCCTGGCCCGAGGCAAACTCTGACCATGCCCGCTCTCACGGCTTGTTTCCGACAGAGCCGTGGACGGAGCGCACGCGTGTTTGGCCCGACCTTGTCATTCATCGACGAACCCGTTGAACCTCTCGCATGTGCTCCAGCCGTGCCGTAACGTGAGCAAGCAATCAAGGAGTCCCAGCGCAGTTGAGCAACCCCACTGGAGCCCAGGTCGAGAACGTGAAGCCAGCGCCGGTCTGGACAGGCGAGCCTGTGCCCGTGCAGGGTGCCGCGGCATGGGAAGCAACGCCCCACCCTGCTCCGACCTGGCCGTGAGCGCGGCCGACGAGCCCGCCACCGCCTCTGCCGCCGTCGTCGCCCCTCGCCCGTCGCTGTCGACGGCGTCTGTCCGAGCCCGAGCCCACCCCCGCCTGCTCGCCGGCCTCAGGGCATCTTTGCCCGTCTTGGGGCGATCGCGGGGGCCTCCAAGGCTGTCTGGGAGCGTCGGGAAGCCGAGCAGGCGAGAGCGCCCAAAACTGTCGAAAACCAAAAGACAATCCAATGATTTTGGCGGGGCTACTCGCCAGCCGACGGGAGGGCCACGCGGCGGGAGGCGGCGACGACGGCGGGGACTGCCACAACGGCGGCGGCGACGGCGGCGGCGGTGGCGGGCGCGAGCTCCTGGTCGGCACGCGTCGGGCATCCCTGGCGGCCTCACCGTGTCGGGGTCCACGCCCTTGGCGCGCAGCTCTTGGCGGATGGCATCGGCGGTCGAGAAATCCTGCGCCCGCAGCAATGGGGCCGGGGAGGCTGTAGGACCCCCGCGCACCTTTTACTCCTCCGTTCCCCCCGTCCCTCGCGCTCCCCTCCCCTCTCCTGGACTCCTGGTCCTCCCCCTCGTGCTACTGCTGCAGAGGTCAAGGGAAGCTGCGGGCCAGGACCACGTCGCCAGTGAGGACATCCTCCTCTTTCCGTCCGAAGACTGCGACATCTGGAGTCAACACGTCAACCTCGGATTCAATGTGGAGTGAACATGTTCCCTCGCCATCTGTTGCTGCTGCTGCTGCTCCTCCTCTCGAGCAGGCAAGATGGTTAAGACAGAGGGAGTTGACCAATCACCTTGTCGGGATCCGAATCAGAGTGCGCGCCCCCAGCCACCTACCTGACCGTGCCCTCCACTTCGCGAGGCCGCCGCCGTGATGCGGACGCTCGCGCAGTGCGCCCCCTCGAAGCGCATATGCGGACGTCCTTCTTTCATGAGGAAAGCCGGTCCTGAGGGAAACGGGTCCTGCTCCCTGGGGCGTTCCCTTCTGTCGGGCGTGTCCCCCTACAGGGGGAATTTCGACGGAAATAAAAAAGACCCCCAAGATACCCCAGAGAGGCCAAAAAATAATCCAAAATTAGTCCCCAGACTATTCTTGGACTATTTTCTGGTCATTTTTGGGGTATTCTTTTATTTTTCGTCGAAAGTCCCCCTGGAGGGGGACAGGCCCGACTTCAGCGTTCCCCCAAGGCCACATCAAAATCTGCATCCCGAACCGTCTCCCGACAGCCCCTGTGTGCCCGCGGAGGGCCTCGCGAGCTCGACGCCGGCGAGAAAACACCTCAGGGGACCCGCCTCCCTCCGGACCCGCCTTCCCCCCCCAGTGGCGAGTCCTCGAGGAACGAAAACGGCACAAGCACGACTTCTCGGGGGCCCGCGCAGATTTACCGGCCTGGAACATATCCCTAGCCCTGTGCTGGGTATCTCCTCATCACGATGGCCAATCATCTGCGAGAGCTCGACGACGGCGAAAAAAACCTCAGGGGACCCGCTTCCCTCCGGACCCGCCCCCCCCCCCCGTGGCGAGTTCTCGAGGAACATCGGGTCGGGCAAAAGGGGGGGATAGCAAAGGGGAGGTTTGAGAATCAGCTCACGTAGCTGATTTTCCTCCGGACCCGATTCCCCCCCGGCGTGAGCTCTCGAGGAACATCGGGTCGGGCAAAAGGGGGGGATGGCAAAGGGGGGGGGGGTGAGAATCAGCTCACGTGGCTGATTTTCCTGGCGCCTCCCGGCGCCGGGAGGCGCCCATGTATCGAGGAATGGGCCCCTCGGTGGGGCCGAAACCAGCTACATGCAGCAGATTTCGTACCCCCCCCTTTCCCAATCCCCCCCTTTCGCCCGGCCCGAGAACAGAACGGCACAAGCATGACTTCTCGGGGGCCCGCGCAGATTTACCAGCCTGGAACATATCCCTATCCCTCTGCTGGGTATCTCCTCACCACGATGCCGATCTCAGGGGTTCCCTTATTTTTTTGAGGGCGCATCCCTCAGGTTGTCATCGCTTCTTGGCGTGTCAATCTTGGGGATAGGGATAAGTCCGAGGCTGGTAACAGATGTCTTGGGCCGGCGCCGGACACCCGTCCCCCGGCGCGCCTCCCATGGCGCGGTCGAGCGGGGCCCAGGCGCCGGTGCAGGAGGCCTGGGCGGACCTCCGAGACACGCTGCTCGTGCCGCTGTTCCTCCTCAGGAGAAACACGCACGCGTCCTCCGACTCCGCGTCGCGTGTATGACGCTCTCGCTCTTCGGCGTGAGCCCCCCCCCCATGGGCCTCGAAGCCCGTTCGGTAGCATTTTGTGAAAATCTTGAAAAACCTGTGGTTTTCTTTAGATTTCGCAAGAGCTCGCGCGGAAGCTTGTTTTAGCAAATCTGTGTTGCGAAACCTTGTGTTTTTGTAGGTTCTTTGGGCACACGATTTTGAAACCCTTCCGAAACCGATGGGTTTTCTTCAAGGATTTCGGCATACGCGCGCGACGACGCGCGCGTCTGCACTGGGCCCCCTGGGCCCCTCCTCCCCCCTGGGCCCTCGAGCCACCGCCGCGGCACAGCCGGCGGGGGGCCAGCGGTGCAGACCTCTCGGCGGGCAAGGCTCGCCAGCACAGGGGCCAGCGCGAGTGCCTCCGCAGAGGCCGGGCCAATACCTCGCGCGCGTGCGGCTCCTTTTCGGATGCGGGGCGGGCCCAACTGTTTTGCCAACGTGGACTGCAGCAGTGCGTTGCGCTTTTCAAGAAGGTGGAGCAGTGCGCGTGGCGGGGCCAGGCAGGTGCAGACCTCGGCGGAAAGGCTCGCCAGCCGGGCCAGCCGGGTGCTCCGAAGAGGCTGGGCCAACCTCGCGCGTGCGGCCCCTTTCTGATGCGGGGCGGGCCCAAGAAACGGGGCCGTTGTTGGGAGGCCTGGAAATTGGCACCAACACCAGCACAGGGGTTCGCCTCCACAGGGGGAAGATGATCCCAGATTTCGGTGCTGGCGGTAATATTTCGGCCACCTTGGAAACCAAAATATGACCACCATCACCGAGATCGGGATCGTCTTCCCTCGGTGGAGGCACACCGCCGATCTTGGTGTTGGTGTCAACCTCTAGGCCTGCGAATTGTGCATTCCCAGGGGAAGAAATTTTAGCCAAAGTGGACTGCAGCAGTGCGTTGCGCATGTAAGAGGTGGAGCAGTACGCGGTGCAAGCTGGCCGGTGAAAGCTATGTAGTGCCACCTTTGCTGAAACTGCGCTTGTAAGCCCCGTGTGGTGCAAGCTAGGTCGTGTAAGCCAAGCGGCGTGAACTGGAGGTGAAAACTATGGGGTGCAAGCTGACTACCCTGCACCGCGCTTGACCACCTCCACTGCTCGCGCAAACATCCCACCCACCCACCCGCAACTTGGTTTGCAAAATCTCTTAAGACCGTGACGGTGGGTACCAAATGGCACGTACGCCGCCGACAACGACTGCGTCTCCAACGACTTCGACGACGACGACACCGACGACGACGACGACGCCGACGCCGACGACGACGATGACGATGACGACGACGACGATGACGACGCCGACGACGACGACGACACCGACGACGACGACGCCGACGTCAACGACGCCGACGACGAGGACGACAACGACGACGACGACGGCGGCGACTACGACGACGCCGACGTCGACGACGAAAAAGACGACGACGCCGACGCCAACGACGACGACGAAGACGACGACGACGTGAAGACGACGACGAGGGAGGAGGGAGGACGACGACGGCGACAACGACGACAACGACGACAACGACGAGGGAGGAGGGAGGACGGCGACGACGCGAACGACGAAGAAGGAGGAAGGACGGCGACGCCGACGACGACAACGACGAGGGAGAGGGAAGGACGACGACGACGACAACGACGACGACGACGACGACGACGAAATAGGAGGGACGACGACGAGACGCCGACGACGACGACGACGACGACGACGAGGGAGGAGGAGGAAGGACGACCACGGCGACAACGACGACGGAAACGACCACGACGCCAAAGAGGACGACGACGACGAACACGAGGAAAGACAGAGGACGATGTAGGCGACGACGACGACGACGACGACGCGGGAGGAGGGCGGACGGCGACGACGACGACGACGACGACGCAAGAGCGCGCGCGCACGCTTTTGTTGAAAATCCGTGTTGCGAAACATTGTGTTTTTGTAAGTTGTTTGGACACACGATTTTGAAATCCTTCCGAAACCGATGGGTTTTGAAGGATTTCGTCACACGCGCGCGACGACGCACGCGTCTGTACTTCGTCCGATTCTTTGCAGAGGATTCTCGCGACGCCACACGCGCAAGGGCGTTCGACAGATTTCGACATGCGCGCGCGCGAAGCCCGTTTGGCAGCATTTTGTGAAAATGTTGAAAAACCTATGGTTTTCGTAAGATTTCGCAAGAGCTCGCGCGTAAGCTTTTTTCGCAAATCAGTGTTGCGAAACCCTACGTTTTTGTATGTGTTTTGAAAACTCGATTGCGAACTCCTTCCGACACCGAAGGTTTTGAAGGACTTCGGCATGCCATTTCGTCCCATTTGTTGCAAGGGATTCGTGAACAAATGCTATGTTAGAACAGAAAATGTCACCGCGTATCGTTTTTCACAAGGGGACCTCAGGGGGGGGATACCGGCTGGCCTGGGACATTGTGATTGCATATTTAGCATGGACATGTGGTCATAATCATATGTGATTTACATACCCGAAAGGGGGGGCGATAACGCCGGGGGGGGGGAGCGGGGGGGGTTAGAGTCTATTCTCTTTTTAGAATGGAGGCTTAATTCTGTGATGCCAGCCATGTGATGTCGTACATAGGCGGCGCAATCTACGTTGTGAAAACTATGCGGTGGAACCAATGTCGTGTAAACTCACAGCACGGGGCGCCCACGAGGCGGCAAGGGCGGCACCGTGGCGCAACCTCGACGTACCCCCCAAGCGCGGCGCGGCCACTAGACGCCCACGAGACGGCACTGGCGCAACCTCCGCATACACCGCGAGGCGGCACTGGCGGCAACGGAGCGAAATCCCGGAGTGCCCACCAAGTTCACGCCTTGAGCGGCAATGACATTTCCCTAAGAGCAATCAATGGTTGGAGAAAATGCAAGCACAAACTGTCGGAGGACCGCGCGGATTTCTTGAATTTGCGCTGGGCCTCCCCTTCCCTGGCGCGCGGAGCGCGGCAGGGGCGGCACCAGAGGCGCTTCTAAGGAAGCCCAATGCCGATCCAAGATACCTGCGTGGACCTCCAAACATCGATGTTTACACCGTTTTTTTCTCTTATCAACCAAAGCAGCTCCCGCTTTTGGCCACCTGCCCAAACATCCACACCCAATCCGCAATCGCCATTGGGCCTGTCAACGTTCGGCGGGGAGACCTTCCGGAACACTGGAGAAACACAGTGGAGACTGCACTCCCCAAGCCGAAACCTCGGGGAGTCCGAGGCCTTCCCCCCACAACATGAGAATCACTCGTGGCACAGCGTGCTATGTCAACTGAGAGAGAGAGAGAGAGAGAGAGAGAGAGAGAGAGCTCCCTCCTACCGAATGAAAGGCGCTCGCGCGCGGTCGCATGTCCGACGATCAGACGAAGAAAAAAACGAACCGCGCATGGGCGGAAGCGGAACTTCAGAAGTTCCTTGCTCGGCGCTGCGGCAAACGCACAATCCGGCCGACTTTCGGGCAGCAACCTTCCCGTGGAGCGCGGCGAAGGCGAATCGTGCGACTGCCACTTTCGCCCACATGCTGCGCGGCGACCAGGCGAGAAATGCATGTTGGGAAAACCAGCAAAATACCGATACCGCTGCTCCCCGGCCTCTCCCAGGGTGCGTTGTGGCCAGGATCTCGAGGCGAACCCAGCGGTGGTGACGAGGGCCCCCCAGGAGGCCCAACACGGGGAACACAGGCGAAAGGTACTCCGAGTTTCTCCAGAAGCGTCGGGGGGGCGTCACCCGTCACCCCCGCCGGCAGCCCCACGTCGACCCCCGTCGCGGGCTCCCACCTCGCGCCGAAGGCGCTCCGACCCCCGTCGCGGCGCGACGACGAGGCGAGGTTGACTCCCGTGGGGGAGACCCCCCCGCGCTCACTGAGACACCCGGAGTAGCGGCATGGGTACACCTTCCTCCCCTGCAGATACGCCGCCCGCTCTCGCGCGCGGCCCCGGCTCCCGCTCGCGCTTTTCTGCGGCTCGGCGTGCGCGAAATGCGCAGATCTAGCTTTAGGTCGGGCATGCCCCCCTACAGGGGCGAAAAATATAAAACATAGCTACTCCAACATTGTCAAACAATAATATAGGAAATCGTTCCCAGGTTTTTCTTCTTTTGCCTATTTTCGAATTTTCCTCCTGTAGAGGGACAGGCCCGACTTGAGTCCGGCTACAGGCGGGACAAAAAAACTGCACTGAACTTCTACGCGAGGGCGCTGGGGGCGCCCGCGCGCGCGATCGGCCCTGCCCCCCGGCGACTTTGCGAGCGGAAAGGTTCCTGCGCCGCGCTGGGGGCGAGAGTTCCGTCTGCTCGCGCGCCTGTGGCAGGTTCGCGTCGTGTCGACCCCATTTTCTGGACGAAAAAAAAAACAGCCCAACGATACCCAAGAGTGACCCCCAAAAATGCAAGAAATCGTCCCCAGACTGTTGTTTTTTTGCATATTTTGGAATATTCCTCCTGTGGAGGGACAGGCCCGACTTCAGTCCAGCTACAGGCGGACAACAACAAAAACACTGCACGGAGCTTCTACGCGAGCCACTGGCGACTTTTGGCGAGCGAGGAGGTATGCGCCGCGCCAGTGGCGAGAGTTCCGTCTGCTCGCGCGCCTACGATCGGAAGCAAGCCAACATGGATTAGCGATCCATGGATTTGGCGCGCGGTCGCCACATCCATGGATCGGGGGAGGTGTCCTCCCCCAAATGCGGCCGGTGCCGCTTCCTTCGGCGGCGGAAATCCGGATTTCCCATGGAAACGGGACCTGTCGCTAATCCGCGCCCCCTTGATCCACGTTTGCGATCGCCTGATACGAACTGGCGGGCGAAACATGCACGCCGCGGCCACGCGGGAACTCAACGCTCAGTGATTTCAGCGGCGCCGGAGCGAGAGCGACATGTGGCCTTTAGGAGGTGCGCCCCGTGCCACTTCTCCTCTCCCGAGTTTCCCCCTCCTCACACTCTTTCTATTCCCCTCCCCACCCCCCCGTCCCAGTCCTCCAACATATCCGCCCATGCCCTGTTGCAGATTCTCCTCCCTTGTCCAACTAGTTTTCCCTCTCACCCCATCCCTCCCTTCCTTTTTCTCTCCACCATCCCCCTCCTCCCATCCTTTCCGTCCTCCCCATCCTCTCTCATCCCCTGATGGACGACAAGACCTTCCCCGTGGTAGTGGGTGGTGGTGGTGGTGGTGGTGGTGGTGGTGGTGGTGGTGGTGGTGGTGGTGGTGGTGGTCGTCGTCAACTTCGTACTTGGTCGTCGTCGCTTGCTCCTGGAAAGATCACGACCGGAAATGTTGGCCTTGTCTTTTTTCGAGATCTCTTGGGTCGCACCGATCCGCAGGGATCCTGACGGGCCAACACGGGCCAACCAGCGCCAATAGCGATGCTCATAATTAGGCCCGCGACGCCGAGATCTGAGGCGCGTCCCTTCCCCCCATCAAGAAACCCGTCCAGGACGAGAACGAGGACGAGGACGAGGACGAGGAGAGACCCCCTGGCAGGGCTTCCCGAGGCAACCCACGCTGGCCGCAACAGGCCGCCCCGGGGCAGTCGAGGGCGGCCCCCTCACCGCACGCCGCCTCCCGCGGCACCTCGCGAGGCCTCAGCAGCGGACGCCAGCCCGTACGCGACCCCGGGGCCCCTGCGGAGGCCCGCGCGGGAGCGGCGCCTCCCGGCCGCCGCTCCCGCGCGCTGCCAGGACGCCCCGGGCTGGGCACCCACCTCGGCGGCGCGGCGGCGGCGAAGAGGCCCTAATTAGGGGGCCACGTGCGAACCCTGCCCCTGCCCCCCACGATTTCTGCGGGGGAGGGTGGGGTTCACTTCGTTCGGGAGCTCCCGAGTGAAGTGAACCCCACCCTCCCCGAGCGAAGTGAACCCCACCCTCCCCGAGCGAACCCTACCCCTACCCCTACCCCGAGCGAAGTGAACCCCACCCTCCCCCTCAGAGATCGTGTGGGGGGCAGGGGCAGGGTTCGCATGTGGCCCCCTAAGAACGCCCCTGGCTGGGCACCCACCTCGGCGGCACTGCGGCGGCGAAGAGCCCCCCCCCCCGCCCACCGCACAGCCTTGTTCCGCTTCGCGTTGACCCAGGCGTCCAGCTTCGCCTCCACGTCCGGGTCCGGGCCTCGGCCCGGGCGTCGGCCAGCAGGAGGCCGGCCCGCGGGGGGAAGGCGCGGGTCCGGGAGGGGCATCGGCCCTCCTCCAGCCTCGTCGCTGCTCCTCTTCCTCGCCCTCCTCCTACACCTGGTGCTGTAGGCCGAGGGAGATCGAAGATGAAGGACTGAGAGCTGTGAGCGTTTCTGGCAACTTGTTGGATGCCAAGACCATCTGGAGCCTGCCCCGAGGATCGGAATCCGGGGCGGAACCACCATTACGATCACCTCCTCGTCCTTTTCCTCCTCCTCCTCCTCCTCCTCCTCCTCCTCCTCCTCCTCCTCCTCCTCCTCCTCCTCCTGTGGAGGCAGCGGTCAGCCTCCTAACCCTCAAGCTCCGCCCACTCCGCCCACTCTCCTCGCAACAGTTTGGGGGGGGCATCTCCGCGTACCCTCTCCCGCACCCGGAAAAAGGAAAACACGCCCACATGCAAAACTGCGGGAGGTCTGCGCGGACCTCTCGGGTCGGCACCAGACCCCCCCTCTGTCGGTGCCTGAAGCGCCGCTACTGGCGCGCTTCGCGCGCCATGGAGAGGGTGGGGGCGGCAGGAGTGGCGCCGGAGGCGCTGACACAGGGGGTCTGGCGCCGACCCGAGAAATTCGTGCTGACCTCCGAAGAGTTATGTTCACGCCGTGTTGGGATACAGCCATCGTGCTACCACTCGGAACGCCGAGCAAGGAACGACGGGGTGTTCCTAGCCACGGCGAGCCTCGGACGCGCACTGCTCTGTATGACCTGAGCCTGAGAGACGGCCCGACATGGACCTGATCTCAGCGTCTTGACTGGACGGTCAAGTCGCACAATACGGATGCGCAGTGAAGATGCGAGGGCCTTGGAGGGCCACTCTGGCGTCGCCGAGCGGGGCTGGCCAGCGAAAGTCGCCGAGGATAGGCCGAAGGCCGAAGGGGCAAGGGTGCCCCTTCGGCCTATGGTCAAGTCGGGCATGTCCCCCTGCAGGCGCATCTTGGACGAAAAACTGAAGATAGCCGAGAAGCTGTTCAAACATGGTTAAAAAGACTAGAAAGATCGTCCCTTTTTTTTGTGTCCAGCGGGCGCTGACCGAGCTGACCGGGCGCCGACGCGCCGTGCCCAGGACAGGCCACCTGCACCGAAGTAGGGGGGGGAGGGGAGGGCCCCCACGACCCCGGCCAGCACAGGGGAGTGCGCGGCAGCGGGATGGTGGGGGGCGTTGCCTCCGCGAGCGTCTTTGGCAAGAAAGATCGTCCCCACACTATTTGTTCTACTACTCTCGGATGCTCCTCCCGTCGAGGGACAGGCCCGACTTGAGCCTGTGGCCCGGGCCTGCGCCGCCCCCGGGCGGGCGGGGACCCGCGGCCGCGCTGCGGCGGGGCGGACCCCCCCCGCGCCACCGCCGCTCTCTTCTCGACCAGGGGCCGACCGCCCCGGCATTCATTCCTACGGGCCTACCACGACATGTTTTTCGAACCCCAAATGCCCGAGTAACACGCACAAGGTTCTCAGAACGTTCACCCGGCGTTCTGCACTCGAACAAGACAGTCTCCGCCAGAAGTGTTCTAAGATCATTTCGCGCAGGCCACAGAGATTCTCAGAACATGTTGCGGTGGGCCTATAGAAAAGGCGGGACGCTTCGCCACTGCTCGACCCCCTCGCCCCTCGGCCCACGCAGGCTCCTCTGGACCCTGCTGCTCCTCGCCGCCCGGCTCCCCTCCTCACTCTGCGCGCCCTCCTCCCAGGGGTGGCCCTCCTCCTCCTGCTTTTCCTCCCCTCGTGCTCTGCTCCCCCCCTGCTGTGCGACTTGACTGTGTCTGACAGGAGGAGGAGGAGGAGGAGGAGGAGGAGGAGGAGGAGAGGAGGAGGAGGAGGAGGAGGAGGAGGAGGAGGAGGAGGAGGAGGAGGAGGAGGAGAGGAGGAGGAGGAGGAGGAGGAGGGAGGAGGAGGAGGAGGAGGAGGAGGAGCAGGCGGAGGAGGAGGAGGAGGAGGCGGAGGGGGAAGCGGAGAAGGAGGAGGCGGAGAAGGAGGAGGAGGAGGAGGAGGAGGAGGAGGACACCTTCGCCCCCCGTCCCCCGCCCCCTCGCCCCGCGCAGCCCTCCAAGGAGCCAGGCCCCGCACGTCCCGGTGGCCGCACCACGTCCGGGTCCACGCCCTTCGCGCGGAGCTCGACGCCTCGGCTGCGTCGCGCGCGGCCGCAGCAGGGCCGAGGGGCGGGCTCGCTGCGCGGCCCCTGCGCCCACGGCCCTCCCCTCGCGCAGGAGGAGGTGCACATCGCCATCGTGCCTGGCCAGGGCTGCTCTGGGCCACGGCACGGGATCTGCGCACTACTGGTCCGAGTTCGAAGGGGCCATACGCCGTCCTGGTCAGGCACGGGGCTGGTGTGTGTGTGTGTCTATACAAATACTGGACACATTCGCGCGCGCTCCGCGCGCGCGCGCTTCGTACCTACATAGCTCCAGGCGTTGGGAGGTCCATATTGGATCATGTTCGACTCCTCATTCTCCAACTGCCCTGCTTTCCTCACCCATCTTTTTGTGGCTGTCGTCTCCCGTCCTGCTTCTTGAGCTTCCCATGCCTGCCGTTGCTTTCTCAACCCTCGCCCAGGCAGGCGAGAGGGCGCAGATTGAAAAGGAAAGAAATGAGTGAAGGAACGCGGAGGAATGATGCAGCCAGAAGGCAGGACGGAGGAGACGGAAGGATCAAGGAGCAGGAGACATGATAGGTAGGCAGATAGAAGGAGGACATGAGAGGAAGGTATCAGGATAGGCAGTAGTTGTTGGGATGGAAGGAGGAACGGAAACATTGACACACCGACCAGAGGGGGGGTGCAGCTCCCATTCGACACGTCCTCTGGAGGTTCCTTTCCTCCTGACGCTCCTTCTCCTTCTACTCCTCATGTCGCCGCATCACCCACTCCCTCATCTTCTCCTCCTCATATGTCTTTCCGAGAATCCTCGGCCCAGTCGCCAGCGTGCCTGGGATGTGGGTCATACGTCTTTTGGGTGTTCGTCGGGATGTCGTGTGAGGGTTCTCGTGGACGCTTCGGAGGCAATTTTGAAGCCTCTTGGGCGCTGGTTTGAAGCCTCTTGGGGCGTCTTGGGGGGCTCTTGGGGGTCTCGTGGGGCCTTTGGGGGGCTCCTCGGAGCATCTTGGGGCGGAAAGCTCGACTTGTTGGGTCGGGCTCCCGCTCTTGGGCCACTTTGGGGGCCGTCTTTGGGCTCTATTGGGCGACTCTCGGGCCGTTATAAATAAGTATATACATACACACATATATATATATATATATGTATCTATACATATATATATGTATATATGTACATATATATATATATATATATATATATATATCGGAAGATGGGGAGTGACGCGACGACGACGACGACGGCGGCGGCGGCGGCAGCGGCGGCGGTGGCGGTGGCGACGGCGACGGCGGCGGTGACGGACTTGCGACGGCCCAGCTTTCTTCGGGCCGCTGTCCCCCCCTGGCGCGGTCGAGAAAGGGCCCCGACTGTCGAAGCGGGCGGGTCGTTGCGATCAAGATCCGGCACGCTCCGCCTGCACACCCGAGAGAAGGAGGCGCCGGCTTTAAGCACGCTTTGGCCTGCGCGCCTTCCTCACCCTCGCCTTTGTCATCGTCCTCCTCCTCCTCCTCCTCCTCCTCCTCCTCGTGTTCTCCTTGTCCTCCTCCTCATCATCCCTCCGCCTGCACACACATCCACCTTCTGCTTCGCCCTGTCCTCCCCCATGGCCCTTCCCTTCCCACATCATCCTCGGATTTCTCCTTCCTCTTTCGCATCCTCATCCTGCTCCTCCTCTACTAGCCTCTGAAACGCCTAATCCCGATCCGCCTCTCACCCCCTCCGCTTTCAAAGAACCTTGCGGGCAGCCAGGTCGATTGACCATCACATTCTGGGCGTGAGCTGACTCTTCTACGGTCGCCCTGCCTGGCCTTCCTGAGAGCTAGGTACTGTTTGGTAGCACTTGCGCAGCATCAACAACATGGAAATAGTTTGGGCTGCGCTCGGAAACAGCACTGGCACTCTGATAAACTCCAACAGTAAGGACGCACAGTAAGGATGCACGACCTTTGACTGTCAAGGCTTGCATTATTGATGCGGCACCAGGCCAGCAGCACCAGCAAAGCAAATGCGGCAGAGACTAAGATGCAATTGCATTGTCGGTGAAGCACTGCATCCTTGCTGCGGCAAGGTGCCGCCTTGACGGAACGGGCCGCAGTGCCTGACACCACGCAGGCAATTCGACGCTGAACGATCCACGCTCCCGCGATTCCGCAGGAGCTCTCGCGAGAACTTCCGTATGGATCCCGGGGGCAGAGGCGGGACCTGGAGGGCGACCACACCCGGACCCCCGCGCCAGCGCCGCCGCGCCGACGAGGCGCGAGCCTGCCGCACAGACCTTGCCTGTGCGGGCGGCGCGCCCGGACGAGACAAAAGGACCGCCGTCGGCGCAAACGTCTGCCGAGGCCGGCACGGATCGCGTCCGCGGTGTCGAACTCCCGGTTCCGCTTCGCCGCGACCCACTGTGGCGCCGGGCGCGCTCCGCCGTCCCCCCCCTCCTTGCCCCCCCAGGGTCCCCTGGATGCTGCGAGAGCCCCTGCCGGAGTCCCCCGGGTACAAGGTGTGGGTCCTCTGCCTTCTCCTCCTCCTCCGCCTCCTCCTCCCCTCCATGCCTTCCCCCCTCCTCCTTCTCCCTCGCTTCTCTCTCCACCTCCTCTTCTCCGTCCTCGTCCTCCTCATTCTCTTCCTCCTCCCCTTTCCACCCGCTCATCGTCCCCTTGGTGCCCCTTCCCAGCCCACCAGCGATGCATGCTCCACCCGCTGATCTTCGCCTAGGAGCGGCCCAAAATACTCGCACAGAGCCAACAGAAGCCGTCTTCATGCCGTCTAGATGCGGTCTTTGGCTGTCTCGTGGCACCATGGGAACGGCATGGGGCAAGATTGTGCGGTCCTCGGCACGGTCACGGGCTAACTCGAAGCGTTCTGGCGTCGCCTTGGGTGCCGCGCGCCAACTGAAGCAGATAAGTCTGGCAGCCTCGACATCTAACCAAACTTTCGGGTCTCCTGCTCTCGCTCTCTCTCTCTCTCTCTCTGTGTCTCTCTCGCTCTCTCTCTCTCTCTCTGTGTCTCTGTCTCTGTCTCTGCCACTGTCTCTCTCCCTCTCTCTCTGTCTGTCCCTGTCTCTGTCTCTCACTCTCTCCCTCTCTCTATGTGTGTGTGTGTGTGTGTCTTTCTCTCTCCCTCTCTTTCGTTCTCTCTCTCTCTCTCTTTCTTTTTCTATTGCCCTCTCTGTTGTTATCTGTCTCTCTCTCTCTCACAATTTCTCTCTCTCGTTCTCTCTCCCTCTCTCTCTTTATATTTCTCGCCCTCTCTCGCTCTCGCTCTCGCTCCATGTATCAGTTGTCGTGTTTGTTAGTTTTGTTGCACTCTCTCTCGCACACTCTCTTTCTATACATGTACCTATACTCACATGCATGATCGTGTATGGTTCCGCATGCACGTATGAAATACCTGGCTCCGCCACAGTGACCCCTTGCACATTGAGGCGTGATGGAATGCCACGGGCTGTCAGGGAGGGACTGTGGAAAAACATAAGGGGCCCCCCTGCCCCTTATGGTAGCAGAGAGCTGAGGCACATCACCCCCTCTTCCGAGGCCACGACCCCCAGTCCAAAAACATGTTTCCGCGCTCCCGAGGCCACGCACCCTTCTAAAACACAGTGGGTCCGCGCTCCCGACCTTCCAAGACGGCCTAAGATGGCCCCAAGACGGCCGAATCTGGCCTCAAGTGATGGGCCTGTTTTCCACCACCACCACCACCACCAGAAGCTGGAGGGAGGAAGGAGGTGGAGGACGAGGAGGAAGAGTAGGAGGAGGAGTAGGAGGTGAAGGAGGAGGAGGAGGAGGACCCCCCCCTCCAGCTTATGGTGGTGGTGGCGGTGGAAAACAAGCCCATCATCAAGACGGCCTGAGAGGCACCGAACACGCCCGAAGAGGACGACCAGAGGACCCCAAGAAGGATCCGAATGGGCCCAACTCGTTGAGTTCCCAAAAACGTTTTCAAAGATTGTGGCGGCTTCCCTTTTTCTTGCAACCTGGGCCCTAAGGCGGCCCAACAGAGCCCCCATATCATCCTGCCCCAAGATAGCGCAAGAGGGCCCCTAGACTGCCCAGGGCGGCCCGAAGAGAGCCCCAAGCCAGCCCACCAGGGCCTTCAGAGAGAGCCAATACGACGTTAAAGAGCCTCTCGGCGGCCTGACGGCCTTCATACGCCAATATAGCCCCAAAGCGGAAGCAAGAGAACCCCCAGACAGCCAATAAGCCCCCGGACGGCCCAAGAGAGCTCGAAGATGGCCAAAGAGAGTGCCAAGACGCCCACAATGGCCAACGGGACCACCAAGACTGCCCCACAGGATCCCAAGAAAGGACGGACGAACGGGAAGAAGACGACGACGAGAAGAGTACCTCCGAGACGACGCGGAAGACATTGCTACATGTTGCGGCGTTCCCAAGCAAAGGGGCAAGAAATGTCACACGTGACGGCCTCCCGTGAACCCCGGAAGAGTCGCCTCCCAGAATGCTGGGCTGGCACGGTGGCGGGATTTGCCGCAGGTAGCTGGATATTCTTACATATACTTACACGTGCACGGATGTGTTATACACGCTGTAACATGAAGAGTTCGCCCCCCCAAGTTACGGAAAAGAGGGATGGGGCGCCAGGACGGAGGACCACCGGGGTGCTCTCCAAAGCAGATTCGAGACTGCCCACCGCAGGCGCCGATCTCATCCCAGAGTGCGCATGCACGCAGGATTTGTTAGCTGCTGTTTGAAGTGCTTGGATGGGTTCCGAGGCGTTTCGCTCGGTGGGCGCACCCGTGGGCGTCTCGTACTGGGAAGCTTCCACGGGATGTCGCGCAGCACCCGCCCGTGGGCGCCTCGTGCTCGGGCGCATCGTGCCCACCGGGTGCCTGCCCGTGGGGGGCTTTGCGCGGCCTGCCACATAGCTTGCACAATATCTATCGCAACACACTGCTTGCACGGCATAGCTTGCACCACCGAATTTCTGCACATAGCTTGCGGACATAGTCGACAGCTGTCACCACGCAGCTTCCATCACACAACTAGCTTGCCATCACATAACTCGCACCAAATAGCTCACGTCGAAACGGCTACACAGAATAGCTAACGCCTCACATTTGCACCACATAGCGTGCACCACAGAGCTTGCAACCAAGAAGATTACACCACGCAACTCACCCCTCGTATCTGGCAACGCATAGCGGGCCAACAGCACTGAAGGATGATATACCATGTCTGATGACATTAGTCTCATACAGCTGTAAGGAAATCGAAAGCGCAGGGAGGGGAAAACAGTGACTGACCAGTGGACCAGTGGACCCTGTGAGTTTCATATACGTTATGTCCTGACTCGGAGGTCACCTGACTCCATACACGTTGTTCGTGTGTTGTTGGCCCCCGTTCGGTCCCCAGTGCCTCAGACAATATTGTCCCACATTGCAGGCCTCGTGGGCGGTCTGTGAGCTTAAGGGTGCGATGCAACATGATAGAAAGAGAGCTCGGTCGGGGAGGCCGAACATGATGGGCGCTACGTGGTCCAAACGCGGTGTCGAGCGGGCTGCTGCCTGCGAAAATACTGCGTGCGAAAATGCTGCAAGGGCGAAGGATGTTTGCTGCGTGGTCGCGACTGTTGCGATCCCTCGTATGCACTGCATATCTTAGATAATGCATCCCGGATTCACCCTTGTCCTATCAGCAATAAGGACAAGAGCATCAGAGAAAAGGGGACTGGGCGGATGAGATGGGAAGGGAGGAAGGAAGAGCAAAGGGCACGGTATGAGAAATGGGAACGAAGGGATGGGAGGAGAGAGTGGAGGAGAGGACGGTAAGGTGGTGGAGGGATGAAATGGGCACGAAGACCCCGCTGGCTTCCGCCGGCTTCCACAAGAGAGGCCGCCCTCGTCTCACAGCCGGCTCTGGCGGACCTTTTGCGCCAATGCCCTCGAGGTCGTCGTGGTCGTCGTGGTCGCCGTGATCGTGGTGGTCGCCGTGGTCGTCGGGGTCGCCTTGGTCGCCATGGACGCCGTGGTCGTCGTGATCAACCGTCGTGTTCGGCGTGGTCGCAAAAGGGCTGGCAAGCCAATTCCTCAGCTCTTCGACGGCGAGGCTCGTCCTGGAGTCTCGAGCTGGCCGTACTTTGGAAACGCCACGCCCGTGCCTTGCATCGCTTTGCTGCTGTGCCGCCGTGTCACTTGCCCTCACCATCGCGCTCAGCGCACGTGGCTCGTCTTCCTCAGCCTTGCTGCGGGCCCGTGCGCGCCGAGAGGTGTTCCGCCGGAGGAGGCGGAGGAGGAGGAGGAGGAGGAGGAGGGCGAGGAGGAGCTCAGCGCACGCAGCTCGTCTTCCTCAGCCCTGCTGCGGGCCCGTGCGCGCCGCGGGGTGCTCCGGCGCCTGCGCGGCCGGATGGCGCCGTCGGCAGAGCTTGGCCCGGCCTCGCATTCCCGACGATTGCCTCCTCCGCGCGGGGCTGGACAGGTTCCCTCCTCTGGCCATCGCTCGGACGTCCATTCCCTGTGTTTCTTTTCGGATTCGTGCGTGGCTTTTTCGCCAAATGATCAGGGATGCTCCTCGATGGTCCTCGCCGAAAGAAGAATGCACACGTCCGAGCGATGCCAAGTCCTCTCCTCTCACGAGAGCGCGAACGTCCTTCGCCTCCTTTCCCTTGCACGGGAGCGCGAAATGTCCCTCGATCCTCCTGTTCCACGTCCAACTCCGGACGAGGCTCCCCCGCCCGCCATCGACGAGGGGAAGTAGCTGCCCAGGGGAGCCCAGAATCGAATCGATAAGTCGGATCGGCTATCGAAACAAGTCGGATCGGCGAAAAACGGCAGCCGAGTCGGGAAAAGTCGAATCGGCGGAAATCGGCAGGATAGTATGCGTCCAACAAAAAATCGGAGTCCAACTCGGAATCCGAAGCCGAATCGAAGCGGAATCGGAGGCCATCGAGATCGAATCGAACCGCATCGGAGGAATCGCAACGAGCCCTGGTGGAGGGCGGGACGCTCGGCAGAGCAGCTGTGCTGCCGCGCTGCCGCGCTCGCGGCACGGCCGCCTCGTCCAGCTTGCGCTCGATTTCGGGGTCCACCGTCTTGTCGTGGCCAGGGGGCCGCACGGTGTCCTGCCCGCCCTCTGGCTTTCTACTACGGACGACGACGACGACGTCGACGATGACGTCGACGGCGACCACAACGACGACCACAACGACGACGACGACGACGACGACGACGACGACGACGACGACGACGACGACGGGCCGAGAGGAAGCCGTGCACGAGGAGGACGGACTCCCCGTGGGCGATCGGATCGGGGACGACACGCTGGCCCGGGCCCACCAGGGCCGCACCTGGCCAGGACGCCTTAAGTAGCTCTTGCAGATCAGGGGCAGCTGGTGGAAAGGCCAGGGGCCCTTCTCTCCGTCGTCGCTCGCAGGCGCGGAGGCCACGCGCGCCTCGTCGCAGCAGCCTGGGCGCGAAGCTCCAGGTCGGGAGAGCGCGCGCCGCTCCTCGAGGGCGGTGGGCCCGCGCGCCGCGCGGCAGTAGCCCTGGGGCCTCTCCCCGTCGCCTTCCCCGCGCTTGCCGCTCTTGGACGTCGGCCGCGGCCCGCCGCGTGGGTGGGGGCCGGGTGGTCGGGTGGTCGCGTGGTCGGCGCGGCGTGGCTCCCGGCCCGGAGTCCGCCAGGAACGATCGGCCGACCCCCGTCAGAGCTGGCCCCATCATTCGCCTGCGCCCGAGCTGGCAGTCCGTCTCGTGCTCCTCGGGCATGCGACGCGCCCTCGTAGTCTTTGGCCGAGTGCTGGGCCTTCGCACGCGAAGGAATCCGCGGATCGAGTGGCAGCCCTTTAGTCTTCAGCTGAATCACGGGCCTCCAACTCTTCCGTGTTCAGCATATACATATGCCAGACAAGATCCAGGGAGCTAATTGCGGAGGTTATCATTGTTTTGATGTAGGCAAGCCTCGGACACCACTCTGGAGGGGCGAGGGGTATAGCGAGAGGGCCAGGAAGCCAAGGAGTTTCAGGAGAGGGACGAGACAGAGTGGACATAAGACAATGTGCATCGAGATTGTTCGAGGGTGGAGGGGCGTGGAAGGACACGCGTGCACCATTTGTGAGATCCGTATCGGGCAAATGCCTGTCGCAGAAGACCTTGTTGCCACCAGACACGCAAAACACCAAGAAGGAATTGCAAACTTTAGGTACAAACTTGATTGCTAGCAACATTCGAGCGGAACGGCTGTGATACTGAAGCTGGGGGTGTAAAAGCGATCGACCATTCCATGGCTGTCAATGACGGGAAGGTCGGGAAACCAATCATGCATCCGCGCTGTGCAACGAAGCAGAAATGCCCAATTGCAGCAACACGGAAATGACAATGTTGTCTACTATCTTATCTAGACAACCCGCGCAGTCCTCACACCCACAGACGCACCGTCTTGCCGTCATCTCCATCACACCATTACCATCATCATCATCATCATCATCATCATCATCATCATCATCATCATCATCATCATCATCATCATCATCAGCATCATCATCAGCACCATCGTCAGAATCACCATCATCATCACCATCATCGTCACCATCCCACTCACACTCATGATCACCGATCGCTCGACACCATAAAATCACCATTCGCCACCAGCACCACCATCACCATCATGGGAATAATCGCACACATTCGCACGTACACACACACACTCACTCATACACACTCACACCATCACCACCACCATCATTATGACACACGCAATCACGCATCCATGAACTCTGACTGGCACTCGCACACACTCACACATTGGAACTCTCGGGCGGGAACCTCGCCTGTGATTGAATGGTGAAAGAGTCTCAGGCGGAAGCCCTGTCCCTGTGGGGCCGCCAGTCGTGCCAACAACCCGAGCGGGCCATCCGGATCCTGTAACTGCCGACGCTCCTGGATTCCCGAAGCGCGGACATGGAGGAAGTCTAGCGCGGGAGCCTCGCCAGGACCCCCCTCCCTATTAGACGAAGGAAGGATCCTGCTCTCGGTTCCTGCGATCTCGGAGCCGACCTGGGAGGCGACCCCCGGCGCCGAGGCCGCTGCCCCGGGCGAGGCAAGCACCCCGCGCAACGGGGGGAAGAGGCCAGCATCAAGCCTCACCCCAGGGTCCTCACCGCAGCTGAAGCGCGCCTGAAGGAGGACGAGAAGACCGCCCGCAGACGCAGACGCACGCACGGCGGAATGACAGGCGCCCGCACGGACACACACGCACAGACACGCACACAAGCACGCACACACGCACAGACGGACGCAGACAGACAGACGCGCGCAGACACGCACGTACATAATGTCTTGCAGTAAAAGGAGTCGACATCTCGCACCTGGCGGAAGTTGGCGGAGGGGCCGCGGAAGGCGGCGGAAGGCCCCATTCTCTGAATCACACATGGGAAGACGTCTGCTGTCGAAATGCTTCGACGCTGAGAACGATGGCACCAAGGAGCTGGATTACATTGCTGTTGTGGCTCCGAGTTGTTCAATTCCGCGGTTGGCGCGGCTGTCGGGGTCGGCCATCGAAAGTCCACGGGGTCCACGGCTGGGAAGCTAGCTCAACGGCGCGTGGCACGATTACCGCAGGGGCGGCATAGGCGGCAACGACATTCGCCACGGCGCTGATGACTGCCGCGCTGACGAACATGATTGCGATGAAGGCCATGCCGCCGACGAGAATGACGTCGAGAAGTGCGGCGAACATGGCGACGACGGCGACGGTCACGGAGATGTGGATGACGATGATGAAGATGATGATGACGATGATGATGATGGTGATGATGATGAGTAAGATCATGATGATGATGACGACAATGTTTATGATAATGGTGGAAAAAACACGATGATGATGATGCTGACGATGATGGTAATAATGGTGATGATGAAGATGATGATGGTGATGATGATGATAATGATGTTTATGATGATGATGCTGATGATGATAATGGCAACGATGATGATGATGCTAGAAATAATGGCGATGATGATGGTGACGACGGGACGCGACCCCACCCTGAAACTCTAAAGCTCCGCGCGGGCTTTGTGGAGGTGGAGCCACAGGCTCCAGAGCGGGGCAGTAGGCTCCCCACTTTTGATCTAGTAGTACAGGTCGACCCTGGGGTATGACCAACAATGCATCTCTCGCGTGGGACTTCGTCGAAAGCGAACGCTTTTCGGAGCGTTTTCTGGCGGCTTCCTTAGGGCTACCTGAGGTTTCCGCGGTGTCCGGCAACTGTCCCTTGCGTGTCTTGATGCACCGAGAAGAAACATGTTGATTCTGCTTGAGACATTATCACCAGCCAGCTGCTCTCCCCGCAGAAATCGGACGTTTTCTGGTAGGCTTCCGAAAGCTGATGTGACTTTTGCGCTGCCTCCAATGACTTCCGCTCGCAAACATGCGAGCTGTCGCCATTTCCGCCACCGCGTCCGCAACAAATTCGGCTCAGAGGTTCCGACGACCACGGCGTCACGCAGGTTCGATTGGAAAACGGTGGCGTCCTCCAAGGAGGCTTTGCAGAGCGCCTGGCTGTCGGCGGAGGACGGGTGCATGCGAGCGCGGGGGCATGCGAAGGCCTGGGCGCTCTGGCAAGCCTGGCGTGCCGAGGGCGAGGAGGACGCCTGCACGTCGCCAGCCTTCTGCAGAAGCCGTCCAGAGGGAAGCCGCGGAACGGCTCGCGGGGCGCCCAGGCCGGAGGGCAGACGACGACCGTGGGCGGCTCCCTGGGAAGACCAACGCGCAGGCCGCCCCAGGGCCAAAGTGCCCGCCCAGGGGCCCGAAGGCGACGGCGATCGCTGCGGCCGCAAAGAGGCTAAAGACGGGAGGCGAAGAGCCGACGTACTCCTCCATCGTGGCTGCGTGCCCGACAGCAACGCTGAACACGGACACGGGGCAGACCGTCGACAAGCACCTTGTCTACCGGGCGTTAAAGGATACGTGCAACGGCGAGGACCTGGACAACCTCTGGCAGAACATGGCAAGACTGTCCACGAACCGCAGAGGCGCAGGTTCCAGGGAGCGTCCAGGCTCCTCGGTCTGATTGTGAGCATACCACAACATGTTTTTAGAACTCGTTGCGATCTGCTGAACCCGTTATGTCCGTTCGTCTGGCTCAGACTGCCACCGTTCTGACGATGTGTCGAGGTATGCCTGCGAAGCAGACTGGGGCGCGGCAGTCCTTGCCCAAAGGATGGCTTTCGCCGTGCACATGCGGGTGCACAAGCGCGCGGACTCCTGGTGCTAAAACAACGTCGTGTGGTGCGACCTCTCCAATAGCATACCCCCGAAGACACGGACAAAAGGCCAAGAAACTCGCGCTGGCAAGGACGGCTGGGGAGGCGTGGATAAGCAAGGGGGCCAAGGGCAAATCAGCGTGGTTCCCCATCCGGGCAAAAAACAAATGTCACACCGAGGCGCTGCCAGACGATTCCCCTGGGGAAACGCCAGGTGGCGCCGCCGTGATATTCGGCCGCGTGCGGGCCGCGTTGAACGTCCGCTTCTTTTTTTTCCACAACGCAAAGCATGTCTCGCTGTCTGTATGCCTCCAATCCCAGGGCGTGCACCTCAAATCGCCTCTCACGGGAAGCTCACAGATCGTGCAGAGGAGGAGGAAGAGGAGGAGCAGGGGCAAAGGCGTTGAACGTCCGCTTCTGGGGACCCCGCGCGCCGCAAGCGGTGTGCACGGACCGCGGCCACGGCCTCCCCGGGGCGGGGGACGGCACGATCCCCAAGGAGCGCAAGAACGCCTTGGCAACGGCGGACCCGACATCGTCTTGCGGGGACGACGCGTCCATCCAGCCAGGTAACTTGCAAGATCTCATGCCCCGCGAGGCCGCCGTGGCTTGGACCAGGGACCGCCTCGCGAAAACGGTGCCGCGGCGCCGCTGGGAGGAGACCCCAGACGATTACCGCGGGCGCCCGAAGCTGGCCGCAGCGCGCATCAAGGACTCCTACGACGAGGGCAGCCTGCGCCGCGAGCTGCCAGCGCGCGTGCATGCCCTGTGGCGGCACAAGGGGGATTGGATTACTAGGTAATCGCTGGGCCTTGAAACGCATTTCGAGCCTGGATTACAAAGTAATCGCATGATCTTGAAACGCATTGCACTGTGTCGGAAAACTGTCATCGACGCGGTCTGTTTGATGACTACCATCACCGACGTCATTCTCGGCGTCGGCGCCATCTGCAACACCGACGTCGCCGATCCTGCTGCCGCCAGGATCATCGACGACTGCCAGAACTGACCATATTTCAAACAAAACGCACAAAACAATCGAAACCATAACCTTCCTGTCTGATGGGGCCGCCAGATTATGTTAGTCATCCGAGCTGGTCGTCCAAATTCTGTAAGTGTCGCTAGTTTTGGACCCCTGAGGCGTGGATGCGCAGGAAGTCTCATGCGGGAGCCTCGTTTACGAGCGAATTGTGAGGAAGTCCCGGCGGGAACCCCCATCCCTATGGGGTCGCCGAATCACGTGAGCAATCCGAACGTGCCATCCAAATCCTGTGAGCGTCGTCGCACTTGGGCTCCTTAGGCGTGCATGCGTGAGAAGTCAGAAGCGGTAGATTTCTTGGTGAGTGATTTTTTAGGAAGTCTCCGGCGGGAACGCCCTCCTTATCGGGTCACCAGGTCAAGTTAGCAATCCGAACGGGTCATCCAAATCCTGTACGTGTCTTTACTTTTGGGCCCCTGGGGCGTGGATCTGGAAAAATAAGCGGGAGCCTCGTTAGTGAGCGAACGTTGAAGAAATCTGTGGCGGCTGCCTACTTCCCTATGGGGCCGCCAAATCATGTTAGCAACCCGAACGGGTCATCCAAATTCTGTAGGTGTCGTCACCATGGGGATATTGCGGCATGGATGTGGAGGAATTTTCGAACGGGAACCTCGTTGGTGAGTGAATTGTGAGGAAACTCAAGCGGAATCCCCCTCCCTGTGGGGACGCTGGTCACTTTCGGGCTCCTGAGGCGTGGATATGGGAAAAAGTCGCGAGCGATAGCCTCGATGATGAGTGACCGGTGGGGGAATCTGGGGCGGGAGCCCGTTCCATATGGGACTACCACATCATGTCAGCAACCCGAGCAGGTCATACAATCCTGGAACTGCCGTCGCTCTGGAATTTTTGACGTGTGGATCAAGAGTAAATCTTGAGCGGGAAGCCGCGTTGGTGAGCGAATTGCGAGGAGATCTCTGGCGGCATCCCCCTCCGCATGTGGCCGCCGGATCGAGCGGGTCATCCACGTCTTATAACTGTCGCCGCTGTTGGAACAAATCTCGAGCAGGACCATCATGTGTGAGTGAGCCGTGAAGAAGTCCCAGGCGGGAGCCCACCTCCCTATGGGACCGCCAGGTCATGTTAACAATGCGAGCGGGCCGCCAGCACCTTACTTGTAATTGTCGTCACTTTTGGACTCGGGGTGGGGGCTTGAGCCTGGAGGAAATCTCTAGCGAGGGCCTCGTCTCTGGGTGAATGGTGAAGGGGCTTCGGCCGGGACCCCCTCCCTGATGGGGCCGCCATGTTATGTTGACCCAGGTCGTCCAAGTCCTGGAAGTCTCGTCCCTTTTGGGATCTGGGGCATGTTTCTGATGGAAATCTTGAACAGGAACCTCGTCGGTGAGTGAATTGGGAAGGACTCTGGAACGGGGCCACACGCCCTATGGGCCCATTCGGCTGGGTTGCGGCATGGGCATCTACTGGGAGACGTTGGCGATGTGGGCCAACACCACGGTCGTTGTGACGCAAAGCATCTGGGCGTGCCCCTCGTTTTCCTGCGGGCCGTCGGCGAAAGCAACGCGATGATCCACGGCGATCCCAACGCGGGTCGGTGTTTCCTGAACGCCCCGAACATGAACAAGACGGGGGACATCCACGGCGTCTTACTAGCACACGCCGGCACGGAGGTTCGGTTCGCAACCGTGCAGGAAGAGATGAAGAAGAAGAAGAAAAAGACTTTGGGACTCGTGCGAAAACGACGGGCCACCATCGTGATCTTCGAGTTAAGCCCCGAGAGCGAGCAGCGGCACGAGGAATGCGGGCCAGGCTACCTCTTCCGCCCCCGCTTCTTGCCACAGAGAATATGGCAGCAAGTGCGCGATTTCAACAAGTTCCCGGTCGACCAGGAGGTCGCCGAGCTGCTGCTACAGCGCGCCGAAGGCACTGACGACGACGGCAATGCCGAAACGCCGGCGCGGAGCTCGCCCATGTTCAGGCCCAGCGAGCAAGAACTCATGAGGCAGAGCTCGGGGTAGCACGCCGTGCGCCGCTCGGGGTTCACCCTGACGCACGCGCCGTATCTCACCCCCACGCTCTCGCAGGGTCTGACGCAGCGCGAGGTCACCAATGACTGTGCCGGGGATGAGGACGCTGGCCGCACGGGGCTGTCAGACGAGCATTGGTGGCTGCACCTCTACGTCACGTCATGTACTCCCGCGGCATGTGCCTGCGGATCGTGCAGATCCGGCGGCCGACCTCGCGCGAGTTTCTGAAACGCGAGCCGCAGGCGTCCTCGCAGAAGGCGCTCGGGGAGTTCGCCAAGAGATCGACCAGTCCCAGGGCTCAGGCCGAGCAGTTCGCTGCAAAGCGTGGTTTCGCGCTGCCTCCCGCCTGAGCGCGGGCGCGCCCCGCTCAAAACCCGCTGGGTTTCCCAAAGGTTTGGTCTCGCGCGCCAGCGGCACGCGGCTTTGTCCCAACGGCGTGGCTCGAAAGGTTGCCCCAAAATGCATCACGACCTGGCCATCGGAGAACGCGCCTCATTACCGAAACGGCGACGGCGCCAAGGAAAATCAATGCGCGCGCCCTTGCAATAGGAATGGGGGGGGGAGGATGGGGGAGGAAAGGCACGAGGGCGAGGAGGCAGAACAGGGGGGGGGGTAGGAGAAGAGATCCTTCGCGATCACAGGAACGACGATAAACATCCCTTCCAGACTGACCGAAAAATTATCATGCGGGGTCCTACCGTCGGAGTAGTTTAGATCATGCTGGGCATTGCGAGCCAGCTACTTTCTAGCGCGCAAGGGTCCGATACACACGCATCTTGCAAGCGTGGGTCATCATCTCCTCATGAGTGGAGCAGCGCAAGCGCCGCTCATGAGGGTCATCTGGGATGTAGGCGGGTGCAGCTAGGCATCGTGTCGCGCAAAACCCGCTTCAACTGAGAAGGCTCGGAAAACAAGGAAAGCCAGGGTTCGGACTCAGTGCAGCGGTCCGCCAGGCCGTGGGCAGCCTGCCCCTGGAAACCGATCTCCACCGCCTGGGGAACCGATCTCCCAAGACCTGAAGGGGGCGGTGGATGTAGATAGATGTCCCAGGAGGCTCGAATCAATCCGTATCGTATCCATCGCCTCACGAGGTCTAGGAATATCAGTTCCCCCGCCCGTGGGTACGTATGAATCTCGACCTAGCAAGACTGAGTTGGTTGGGCGTCAAATCTCACCGATTTCGGTCAGCTCGAACGGCTGATGTGCCACCCTTTGGGGCCTGACACATGCTGCGCGACACGATCAACGACTTGTGCGGTGAACCCTCCCTCGGGCATGCAGTGTGCACCTTTCGTCGTCTCTGCGCTACCGGCAACTGCAACAAGGCTGGATTATTATAGTCGAATGATCTGCGGGGCCGGTTGCAGCCACGAGTCCGAACACGCCTCCCGGCTCCCCAGAGCTCTTGCTCCTCCCCCTCCCCCTCCCCCTTCCCTTCCTCCCCTTCCTCCTCCTCCTCCTCCTCCTCCTCCTCCTCCTCCTCCTCCTCCTCCGCCTGCTCCTGAAGCTTCGTGACATGGCATGATGGCGCGGCGGGTCCATCCCCGCATCTCTCGATGGCCCCGGCGCCTCGCGGCTCTGGCGGCCTGGTCGGGTCAGGCTAGAAACCGGTACATCGAAACAACGTGTATCGTTTCCTTACACTTCTCGCCATCGCTCGGACGTCCATTCCCCGTGCATTTTTCGATTTCGTGCGTGTTTTTGTTTCGCTAAATGATCAAAGATGCTCCTCGATGGTCCTCGCCAAGAAAATGCACACGTCCGAGCGATGCCAAGGCTTTGTTCCAAGCGAAAACAGTCCGGGAGAGTCTCCGAAGCAGCGGTTCGGTGCCTCCCCGGAGTCGCGATCCGCTCCCCTGGCACTCACTCCCCGGAACGAGAGGAGGACGAACACAGCTCCAGGCGACAGAAGCATTCCGGTCGGTCCCCGGGGCTGGGGCGAAGGTAACGCGCCTGCTGCTGGCTTGTTAGACTTTGCAGGGCAGCGCCTGTGGGCCCACACTGGCTCAAAAGTCGACGCGCCGTCCTGACGACGGCCAGACACGCACCCGACATCAGCAACGTCGCCATCACCATCATCCTGCCTTGAACCCCATGGCGCAACATTCCCAAGCGCTCAAAAAGCTGACGGAATTAGCAAACACCAGACTGGGTGGCCTCGCCAAAACCCTGAGCGCGGCCGAGATCCCGACCTTTTGGCTGCAGACTGGATGCCTTCCGAAAGCTTGCCCAATACACTGCCAGCGTGAGAACATGCTAACGTGCTTCGCTACGAGCTCGACTAGGCGCCTGCCACGCTGATTCCACAATGTGTGATCGACTCTGAGGTGAATGGTTTTCTTCCTGCGCCTTGAGTAGACGATGTCACTCACCAGCTCCCCGACTCCCCCCCCACGCATGTGGGGCCTTGCTCCCAGCCCCTCCGGATCGATGCCCCTTGCGCGCAAATCAGCGCGGATCTGATCGGCGGCGGCGAAATCTTTGTTGCGCTTCGCAGTGACCCAGTCGTCCAACTGCTGCTCCGTCTTGGCATCGTACTTCGGCATTGGCCAGAGACCCGGGAAAAGGGGGGCATTGCGCTGGAGGGAGCCGGCGGGCGCAGCGCCGAGCGATGGCTCAGTCACAGCAGGACGGTGGCACCACTCCGTTCCCCATGAGAGAGAGAGGGAGAGAGAGAGGGAGAGAGAGAGAGAGAGGGAGAGGGAGAGAGAGAGAGAGAGAGGGAGAGATAGAACGAGAGAGAGGGAGAGAGAGAAAGACAGGCGTTCCAGAGGCCACCCCGCCTGACCCTCCGCGGGCGACGGGGCCGATGCAGCCGTTCGCCCTCTTCGCTTCCACAGCACACGCACAATGTCCGGCTCCGGATGCGCAGGCTTTGATTCAAGGTGTCTCCTGGGGCTCGCGTCAAAGACTCTTTCGGCGTTTGCCTTCCTTCCTCACCGTGCCCCTTCGAAACGAATCTTTCAGCCGAGGGATCCGGAGAGGCGCATTCCGACGATTCGGCCCAAGGACCGCCGCTTGGGCCGATGGGGGCCAATAGCAGAGGCGTCAGAGCCACCGTCGTGCAGCCCTTGTCGAGCACTACCAGCAGGGGGACGGGGACACCCCGCCCTTCCCACCGCGGCTGGCACATCGGAACAAACAACTTGGCTTTACACGGGTGGCAAGGGCTCGCGGTGGCAGCAGCCCCCGGAGCCTCTGGGGCCCTGCGCTACCAGCAAACTGAAACACATATACACACACATGGCTGGATTCATCTTTGCTACGTTTGGCGGCGCGTAGATGGGAGTAGGGAGAGGGGGAAGCCTTCAGCCTTCTTAGAATGAGGCTGCTTCGTAGACGGCGCGACCTTACATCTATAGGTAAGGCCCACGCCTTCGAAGAAGCAGGGGTGCTTCTAAGAGATCTTTTTTCCCTTCCCCCTACCCTTAGGTCGAGCATGTCCTCCTACAGGATTTTGGGCGAAAATGGAAGATAGTCAAAAGATGTTTAAACATATGCGAAAAAGTCAAGACATTGTCTCCCGACTATTTTGTTGATGATTTTTCCCCACATCTAAAATAGGGTTCTTATTTTCTCGGCACACCCGCCGCGCAGGATCTCTCCTCCCCCCACTCTTCCTCACCCCACGTCCAAAGTGGGGTTCATGTTCCCCACATCCAAAGTGGGTTCTTGTTCCACGCACCTAAAATGGGTTTCTTGTTTTCTTTGGAGACCCTCCGCGCAGGAACCTCCCTCCAACTCTCCACCTCACTCACGCATTCACCCCGTCATTGGTCATCATCACTACCGACCAACATCATCACCACCACCATCATCATTATACTCAGTCGCTCACCATCGATCACCATCACCATCGGCCATCGATGGTCCTCATCATCAGCATCACCACCACCGCCATCATCATACTCAGTCGCACATCACACGCACACACACACTCTCTCTCATCACTCAGCATCATTTTCTCTGGACGCCCCGCGCAAGAACATATTCACTCGCACATCGCACACTTTCTTTCATCACTCAGCATCATCAAACGGGAGCCTCCTCTGTGAGTGAACTGTGGGGAAGTCTTACGCGGGAGCCCCCTCACTATGGGGCCCGCACTTCACGTGTGTAATCCGAGCGGGTCAGCCTCGAACCTGTAACTGTCGTCACTTTTGGGTTCTTGAATCCTGAATGCGGGGGAAATATCAAGCGGGAGCCTCGTCTGTGAGTGAGCTGTGAGGAAGTCTCAAGCGGGAGCCCCCTCCCTGTGGGGTCCGCACTTCATGTTGGTAATCCGAGCGGGCCATCCTCGAACCTGTAACTGTCGTCACTTTTGGGCTCCTGACGCCTGAATGTGAGAAAATATTAAGCGGGAGCCTCGTTTGTGAGTGAACTGTGGGGAAGTCTCAAGCGGGAGCCCCCTCACTATGGGGCCCGCACTTCACACTGGTAAAGCCGAGCGGGTCATCCTCGAACCTGTAACTGTCGTCACTTTTGGGATCCTGAGGCATGAATATAGGGGAGGTATCGGGCGGGAGCCTCGTCTGTGAGTGAACTGCGCGGAAGTCTTACGCGGGAGCCCCGTCGCTATGGAGCCCGCATTTCACGTTGGTATTCCGAGCAGGTCATCCTCGAACCTGTAACTGTCGTCACTTTTGAGCTTCTGAGGCCTGACTATGGGGGAAGTATCTGGCGGGAGCCTCGTCTGTGCGTGAACTGTGAAGAAGTCTCAGGCGGGAGCCCCCTCCCTGTGGGGCCCGCATTGAATGTTAGTAATCCGAGCGGGTCACTGAATTTGCGGGAAATATCAAGCGGGAACCTCGTCTGTGAGTGAACTGTGAGGAAGGCTCAGGCGGGAGCCTCCTCCCTATGGGACCCGCACCTCTCGTGCTTCCTCCGGGTCCTGAATCCATGAGGTGTGTGGATGGGCACGGCGGTGCCCAGCTGGGCGCGGAGCAGCGCTACAGCGGCTGAAGGGCGAGCCTGGGCCGATGAGGTAGCCCAGGGTCGGCCAGGAGCGGCCGCAAGACCGCATGCGCGCCAGGCCCATGCAAACCGAGGCAAACCACGAATTCGGGAGGGGAGGGAAGAAGGAACAGGGAGGGGAGGACGGAAGGAAGCGTGCACAGTATCGACTCCTGCCGGGTCCAGGGCAGACCCCCTCCAACGGTCCATCGGCCAAGCGGCCGGGACTGCCACAGGCCCGCCGGCCCGGATTTCACGACGTGCACGGGGGGAGCGAGGAGGAGACAGGCAGAGGAAGCGAAGAGCCGGCCCACCCCGGAGGGGCTGGCCGACGCTCCCCTTCTGGGAGGCGAGCACGGGAGGAAGAGACGAGAGGGGAGTTCGGACCACTTGCAGGCGGGACCCTGCGCTGAGCCATCGACGCTTGCCTTGCGCCCGACAGCGCCCACATAATATTGCTCTGCGGCCACGTGATTCGTAGCAGTGCCGAAAAGAAAAACTGTGGATGCCCACGTCGCTCCGGCAGGCGACCCCGTCCAAACCGTAACGGGCCATACGCACGGCGAACACCGCCTGGGAGGAGGGAGGGAGGAGGGGAAGGAGGACGAGGACGAGGAGAGGGGCGGCGAGCGGTTGTCTTGGCCAACTGGCCTCGGACCGTCAGGCCTCGTCTGAAGGGCTCAAGGAGGGCACAAGGAGAGCTCTGTTAACGAGATAGGCCCCCCCGAGCGCGGCACAGAGGGCACGAAGTTGTCACGAATCCTCACCGGGAGCGGGAACGAAATAGTCCCCCCGAGCCCCTGAAAAAATACACTTCTGGAATTCCTAAGCAAGATCAATGCACCACTGGAATTCCTAAAAGCAAACCTGTCGCAACGGCGCCCAGACCAGTGCAGCCGCGACGACGAAGACACCGTGCGTAGAGAGGGGGGGACAGCAGAGGGGTGGCCAGAGAAGGCTACCCCTCCGCTAAAGAAAAAATTAAGCGATGGGAGGCCCCCGCGGTCCCGCGGGTACACCTCGCAACCATCACTCTACACATGGCAGCCGTGGCGCGCTACGACGGCGACAGCTGCCGAGCAGAGGCCGGTACCTATCGAGACGCTTCTCAGACAAACTGTGACCTGGCAAAAACGCCAAAGACGCCAGCTGAAGGGGAAGGAGGGGAGGAGGAGGAGGAAAACTGGGAGGGGCGGGCGGGGAGGGAGGCTCACTCAGCTGTCACTGGCGGGCGGGGCGCTGCGCCCTGTCCAGCACCCGGAGCGCCCGGGCGTGCCCGGCGACCAGGTCGACGACCGCCTGGTTGAGCGCTTCCTGTGCCATTTACGGTGTGCGCCGCACTGCGTGCCGCCACCAGTTGTGCACCTTGTATACTGCGGCCGTGCGCAGCGCGCCCAGGATCAGCTCTGCGGGCGGTCTGCGCGCAGTGTCGGTGGCTACCAGGAGGAACTCGGCGAGCTGGGCTGCCTGCGGGGCGGCCGCGGCGGCGCGCAATCCCAGGCGCCGGCGGGCGAACGAAGCCACCCGCCAGCAGCATAAGTAGTGTTCGTTGGAATCCTCCTCCTCCGCGCAGCCGAAGATGCACGCGGCGCCGGCCATGGGGCCCTCCGGCCAGCGCCGTGCTGTCAACCAGCCGTTCCATAGCGTCCGGAGGACTGCAGCCCAGACGCGCGGAGGCACCAGCGGGCCGAGCTGCTGGAGCGCCGCGCTGGCGCGCGACGCCGCTTCGGCCGCTCCCACAGGCAACTCCCATCGTTGCATCCGGTGCACCATCCGCGGGTCAATGTACACATTGGGAAGCGGCTTCAGCTCGCGTCGCATCGCTCGTTGGAAGCCGCGCCGGACTGAAGCCTCCACGGCTTCGCTGTACGGTCTGACGGACTGGTGCGCTAGCAAGCGCTCCACTGCTGCGATCGAGGCGCCCGCGGCCGCGCACCGCCTCACCGATGCGCCAGGTTGGCTCACGAACGCCCTGTCGAACCAATCAGCCCACAGGCTGAGGCGGACCACCTCATCGCTCTCCTGGCACCAGCGGCGCAACTCAGCGGCGCGCTGGGATACCCGCATGCCGCCCTGCTCTCCGGCCTCGTAGCGGGCCACGCGGCATTGCGCGGCGGTCGTCAGCAGACGCAAGTTCGGAAGTTCCCTTGAAAAACCCAAATGTGTCAACCATTGAAGATCTTCTGGCTGGCACCACTCGCCTGGTCCTGGAAAGAGCCTCCGGATCGCCGCGGCCTCCACTTCCTCCCACCTGTCCGGCGGGCCGTCCAGCTGGGCGACGAAGCTGAGAACTGGCAGGATGTAGGTCGCGTAGGCTGAGAGAGTGAACAGGAGCCCTGCTCCGACTGGCCCCCATGCAAGGGCACGCTCGGTGTACTTGCGCAACGGGGCCTCGTACGTGCGCCACCCTCGCTCGGGTCCCAGATAGAAGCCAAGTTACTTCGCAGCGAAGGCGACGCGGATGCCGCCCCAACCCGGGCATGCCGCAGCCACGCTGTTGGCCACCGTGGCGACGCTTGCTGGGAAGAGAGGCACCAAGACAGTCTTCGGGATGTTCAGCTGCAGTCCAGAAATCAGCGCGTACTCCGCGAAGATGGCCGACAGGGCAGGCAGGCGCAGCAGACCCTCCGGGATCACCACCGTGAGGTCGTCTGCGTAAGCGCGCACCAGGCTGTCAGGCGCACGCCGACGCAGTCGCCGCAAGAGCACGTCTGCGGCCACGGCGAATAAGAGAGGCGAGAGCGGGCATCCCTGTCGAATGCCTGCCTCTAAGCAGAAGCCGTCGTGTCGCGCTCCACCCACTGCCAGCTCGCATCTGTTGTCGTGGCATATCGCCTCGAAAAAATTCAGGAACCACGCTGGCAGTCGCAGGTGCGCCATGATGTCCTTCAAGAACTGGTGCCCGATGCTCGGGAAGGCCGCGCGGAAGTCGAAGAAGACTGCTGCTGCAGCTGGCTCGTGTAACGCGCAGCGCATCATCTCGTGGTCTACTGTGACAACGTTCGAAAGGAGCGAGCGCCCATACAGGAAGCCTTGTTGCATGTCGGTCACCCACTCTGCGAGCACAGGTTCCATGCGTAGCCGGACTGCGTTGGACAAAATGCGGTTCTCCGCGCTGACGATGTTCAGCGGCCGCGTGTCCGAAGGGGCGTAGAATTCGCCGGCCGCGGCGTGCTGTCCAGTTGGGCTTTTAGGCAGGAACACCATTAAGCTGGAATTCAAGCTCTGCCCGGGGAAAGTCGCATCCTGGTAGCAACGAGCCAAACGGTCCAGCCCCCTTGCTGCCGACATGTCCTGGGCCGCTCGGAAGAGGGTGTCAACTGCCAGCCTGCCCAAGCGTTTCCAAGCGAGGAAAGGAACTCCGTCGGGCCCAGGGGCGGAGTGCGGCGCCTTCTCGACGGCGGCTTCGACGTCCGTCCGGCGTAGTTGCCACCGCGCGTCATCCAGCGGCGGCATGTCAGGGCGGGGGCTGCCTTGCGGAGGGGTCGGCAGCTCTTCGCGGAGCCACTGCGCCAGCAGAGCCCGGGTGGTGCGTCTTGGGCCGAAGACCTCGCGCCAATGCCTCTGGAGCGAGCTCGCCATGGCCTGCGGGTCGGTGTGCACTGTGCCATCCGACGCCTGCGCCGCATGAACAGCTCCAGAACGTCCAGGGCGAAGTCTTTGAAGACGCGCATGAATGCGACCTCTTCGGACTCGCGCCTCGTCGTCCGACATGCCAGGCAGGTCCGGATGCAAAGCTTGAAGATCTGCCACGGCCGCCTCCCGCGCCAGCTCAACGGCGTGCCGGCGAAATGGCTGCAGGCCGTCGCTTGCTCGCAGCGCCGGCGACATGGGGTCTGGCACCAGGCGGGCCAGGGCAGGGCACGCGGCCAAACAGCGCCGCATGGCGCCCACCTGATGCTGCTCCGCCACCCTCACGAAGCGCATGGTCCACCCCACTCTGTCGTCTGCATGCGTCGGGGCTGGCGCCTTTCGGGATAGCTCCAAGGCCATGCGGTCGGAGACAGTGCGGATGGCGCGCTTCAGCAGGAGGGGCTGCCGGATGGGCCCCCTGGACTCGCCGTCCCCGGCCTGCAACGAAAAATATTCCACTGAAGCCCGTTCTGGCCAAGCCTCGTGCCAGACGACCTCGGCTGAAATGGGGCGTAGGTCCTCGGAGCGGCGGGATGGACTTCGGCGGAAGAAAGACAGCGCGCGGTGGGCGGACAGCCGACTCACCCATTCCAGGGCGGCGCACCCGAGCTGCTTGTCCAATTGGTCCGAGGGGTCGAAATTCACGTATACACGGTCAAGCCTGGATCTGGCGGAGGCTGACGCATGGGTCATGGCCTCTTGGTGAAGCTCGTGCAGCCTCAGCGGTTGCTGCACGCTGCGCTGCCAGTGCCGCTCCTCGGCAGAATCCCGTGCGCCGGAGGCGTCCCCGCTGGTGATGGAGATGCGGTCCGCCGCGTCGGTGACCCAGTTGAAGTCGCCGGTCACGATGGTCAGCGCGTCTGCTTGGGGCCGGAGCTGGCCCGCGATCTGGCGTCGGAGGTCATGGCGTTGCCGGCGCGCTGAAATGTTTTCGGCCGTGGCTCCTGCTGCTGTCGCCTCGCCGTCTGCAGCAATCAGGCGCGGGGTGCCAGCCGGGAAGTATGCGGCGACGATGTCAAGGTTGCCGCGAGGGCCGTGGAGCCGCAGCACGGCAACTCGGCCGGGAGAGATCTCCAGCCACTGCGTGCGGCCCGCGTCGAAATGCTCCAAGAACGAGCGGCGCACAATTACGCCCACCCCGGCGCGCCGCGGGCACGGGGACCACCAAGAAACACAATCCCTCGGACAGTCCCATGCAGAAACAAATCCCGAAGTACCATGGGATTCTGTAATGACCACGAAATCATGTCGAGTAGCCAGTCGTTTCACATACCGAGCTTTACAAAAGTGTCGACGCGGATTGCGTGCGAACAGCGCCTGTGCGTTCCAAGTAGCCCCAGTGAAGTCACCAGTGAAGGGCCCAGAGAGCCGTTGTCCGTCTGGGCCCACCATGGCAGGCGGACTGGGCACTACAGGAGGCCTGTCGGGTGCCGGGGGGCCCGCAGGCGCACGCAGCCGCGGCGGGCGCGCGGCCGGCGGCAGGGCAGGTAAAGCGATCGCTCGCTCCACGTCTCCATCGACGACCACAGCACTCGAGGACGACGAACATGCACCCGATGTTGCAAACATGGCGTTGCCCCCAGACCGCTGTGAAGAGCGCGAGCTGGCCATAGAAGAAGAAGGAGACGGAAAAGTAGAACGCGTCGAAGTGGAAGACGTGGAAGAACTCGGAGGCGATGGAGGCGGAGGAGAGGACCGTTCGCCATCACACCCAGCTCGCCGAAGAGTAAGACGGAGATCGACGACGAACATCTTGCACCCGAGATCCGAAATGATCTCAATTAGATTGGCGCCCCTGCGCGCCTCGCTCAATGGCGGCGCGGCCCTGGGGGACCGCGACCGCCGCCGGGGGCGAGCGCAGCGGGAGCGGGGGCCCGGCTCGCCCGCCCCCGCCCCGCGTTTCCCGGCATCTGCCCCACGTGGTCGGCCAGGTCATTGAGAACCTCGACGCTGATGAGATCGGCCCCAATTTGGACGGCCCTGCCATGGACAGAAGCCCTCAATCGGGTCACAGCGTCCACGTCGGGCAGAAACAATCGGATCCGACCGGGCGGTGCAGAGGGGTCCTGTGCAGCCGCCCATGCCCACGTGCTCGAGGAAGCAGAACCCGCTTGGGGTGCGTCAGCAAGCTGGACGCCGACGCGCTCGGAGAGCACGCGCATGAGGCCCTGCACCACCGTCTTGGGGTCGTACCCGAGTGAGCCCTGCATCACAAGTTCCGCCTCGGTCCCAGAAGATCGTGCTGTGGCCCCGGTGGGGCCCCTGTGGCTGGCCAGTCTCCTCGCGGCATTGAGCTGTCGCCGCGTGGCCGTGGGAGTGACCCAGGAGCGACCGCCCCAGGAAGGGCGCCAACGGAGGCGCAGCACGGCGATCGACGCATCCTCTGCCAGAAGCCTATCCAACACTGGCTTCCAAGTGTCAGGCGCCGCGCTGGTCTTCACAGTTACGAGGGTCCTAGTCACGAACACGGCCTCCTCGCAGAGGTGCCAGACGTGGTGGAAGGCCTCTGGAGATGTCAGCTCCATCAGCAACGCCGAGTTGTCCGCGAACAGCGAGCGCGGCCCCACATACACAGTGTCTGGGAAGTGTAAACGGCGAAGCGCGTCCGCAAGGCAGCGGACGTCCAGAGCGACTACGTTCTGGGGAAAATGGATCTCCACGCGAGCACGGGGTAGGTCTCCAGAGGTGGCGGGGCTCCGAAATGGAATTCCGATCCGGGTCCCCATGTCTTGGCCGACCGATTCCACAGCCCTGCGAACCGCGATACAGTCTCCGGCGGGGAAGTCCACGAAGAGCGAGTGCGAGCCCTCGAAGGCGAGCAGCGGCTCCGCGATGTTCACCACGCGCGGCGGAGTCCACTGCATGGACATACTGATCGTCGCCACCATGAGGCCCTGTCGCGCCATTCGGGGAGCGCCGTTGCCAGGAAGAACCATCTCCAGCGGGTGGGGGGCGAAGGCCAGCGCTCGCACGAACGAGACCCACCCATCTCCGAAGAGCGGGTGCCAGAGAAGATCCCGAATAGCGTCTGCTGTAACGCACCCCGGGTGCAGCTCCATAGGCACCAGAAGGCGTAGCGTCAACTGTTCCGCTCGCGGGCCCCGCGTCTTGGCGAAGGTCGTCATCAGCCGCCCGAGCGCTGCACCCTCAGCTGGGGCCCAAAGGACCAAGCCGTCGCCCGTCAATTCCTGGAAAATGTCCTCGCCCTTGAACGCGCGGGAGTGTAGTCGCCGCGCGTCCGCCACCGGCAGGGTCGCCGGAGTGGATAGGATCGTCGACAGCTGCGTGGCCACCACCTCGTTCTGCGAGGGTGCGGACTGTAGAATATGTTGGAGGCCCAGCATACCCAGCTCCTGCCACTCCGGGATCTGGGAGGCGCGCTGGCGACGCCGAGCTGCCAGTACCGATGGAAGCTCCTGGAGACAGAGTCTCACCGCTTCCTCCATCCTCGCTTTCTCCGCCAGGGCCGCGTTGCGCTCCGAGGGATCCCATTGTGGCGAATCGACGCAGGAGAAGAGAAGCCTGGCCACTTCCCCACGACGCTCGATCGCCGCTCCTGACGGGACTAAACCCTCCAAAGCTGGGATGCCGATCCGAGTCCATGGTTCGGTTGCAGCCGGCCTGAACCCCAACGTTTCCAGCTGCTGTTGCAGCGGGCCCCAAGAGGACAGCGAAGGGCGGGGGAGCAGACGGAGTCGCTCATCACGTAGTGCGCCCTGCGCCTGCACGACCTCAAGGTGCTGGAGCATCTCCGCCTCGCAGAGCTCGATGAAAGCAGCTGCGGACACGTCTGTCCCCGGCTGCTGGGTGGCTGCCCTGTGTGGCGGGTTGGTAGGGGGTGGGGGTCCAGGGGCGCCAAGCGGGCTTCCCTGCAGCTGCACATGCGCAACGCCCTGCGTCAGACCAGGGTGCCCGTCCTCCGCGCCCCCAGTCATGTCGGCGTCGGCGTCCTGCTGCGTCTCCATGTCCCGCTGGTCCACCATCGCCAGGCCCGCAGCAACCTGCGTCAATCCGGTCCCCTCCTCGGCCTCCTCGAGGTCCTCCTCCATGCTCGAATTCCCGGCTGGGTGGCCACGGCCTGGTCAACTTGCAGATGTACCTCGCAGACGCCCACGCCCGGCAAAGCGGGGCCGTCCACGCCATGGGCCGCGCAGACGCGGCCGCGCCCCGCCATCGCATCGCATCCCGGAGCAGCTGCATTAACAGCCCCAGGACCTGGCGGGGCCTGCAGGCCCGGACCGCCACGAAGACGGAGGAGTAAATGCAGCGTCGCACCCTTCTGGATGTTGTAGTATTGCATGTTCCGCTCGTCCTTCATCCGACTCGCCCTGCAGATCAAGCACTGCTGCTCCGGAGGGATACCCTCCAGACCCTGGATGATGCCTTTGATGATGGCGATGGTGGTGCAGTTCTTGACCTTCAAGGTGTGGATCTTGCTGGTAAGCGTCTTGACGTAGATGTGCATGTCTGGCTCCACCTCCACAGGCCTGCCGCCAGTACCATTCGTGCCAAGTGGTGCAACGAGGGCAGGGCCCCCCGTAAGAGGAAAGGCAGGTCCGCCGCCTCGGAGGCGGAGCACCAAGTGAATCGTGGCGTACCTCTGGATATTGTTGTCCGTAAGCGTGCGGCTGTCCTCCAGCTGCTGACTTCCAAAAAACAAGCGTTGCTGGTCGGGAGGGATGCCCTCAGTGTCCTGGATGGCAATTTTCACGTTGCAGATGGTGTAGCGGGCCTCCACCTTGAGCATTATGGTTTCCCCGTGAGCATCTTCACATAGATCTTCATGCCGCTGGCCTCGGTGCGGCTGGCGACGGTGCCGGAGTCGGCGCCAGAGTCGGTGCCAGCGTCGGTGCCAGAGTCGATGCCGACGACGACGCCTGAGGCATACTGCTGCGGCACCGTGTGGTGCTGCTCTCCAGGACGGTGTCGCTGGTCAGCAGTGTGGGAAAGTTCCGCATGGTGCTCACGGGTAACGTCGTGGTGGTTGCACTGCTGTTGGGCGCCGACGTGCTGGTCACAAGGGTGCCCATGGCGGTCATTGACGTGGTCCTCCTCCTTCTCCTCCTCCGCCTGGTCGTGGTCGTGGTCCTCGTCGTTGTGCTCGTCAGTGCTAGCGTCGGTGTCGGAGTTGGGGCCGGCGTCGGTGTCGGTGTCGATGGTGCGGGAGTCGGTGACGGAGTCGGTGCTGGCGTGGATGCTGCTGGCGTCTGTGCGGGAGTCGTAGCTGGCGTCGGAGCTGGCGTCGATGCTGCCGGTGTTGGTGCGAAGGTCGGCGTTAGCGTCGATGCCGTCGTCGGTGCGCAGGCCGGCCGGCTCCTCACCGTGAGAGTCCAGAGAGTCGTCGGCACCGCCGTCGGTATGATGGTCACCGTCGTGGTGTGTAGGGGGTACCCCAGAGGCCAGCGCAGCGTGTAGCCGATGCATGCGCTGGGAGCTGGTGATCACCAAAACCAACCATTCACGTACGCAGCAAAAGTGCCCGGCCGAGTTCCGAGTAATGGGCGGTCGGATGCCCGTGCGTAGGCGATCCACAAAGGCAGCGCGGTCCTGCCTCATGCGGGTGCAAGCCAGCAGTTCCGCGCTGAGAAGGGAGCGCTTGAGGGGGTATAGCTCCTTCCAAAGCCACGTCAGAGCACGATGGCCGATGTGTAGGCATGGTGGAGGCACCTCGGTTGGGCCGTAGCTGAACACATTCGTGCTGCAGCCCACGCACCTTGTAGTAGCAAGTAGCCCGTCGGTTGCCTGGATCATCGCGGTCAGTAGCGAGGAGCGGGACGCCGCGCTGATAGCGCAGAGGAGGCGATCGCCTCCTGTCCAAGCGATCTGGCCGAGCAGCGGAGTGATGAGCGCCCACTGCGTGGAGTCCGCCTCGTGGGAGTCTACCGTGTGGTATGTGTGCCCAACGTGGACGTTGTGGTCGTGGTGGTCCTGACGGCTGCTGGCGTCGGTGCCAGAGTCGGGACCAATATCGATGTTGCTGGCGTCGGTGCCGGAGTCGGTGGCGGCGTCGGTGTCGGCGTTGCTGCTGCTGGCGTAGATTTGGTCGTTGTAGCCGTAGCCGACGTGGTCGTGCTCATCCTCCACAGTCGCAGGTCCTAGGGCGAGGCCCCTCTTAGAGGCTTGGATGCGACCGCTGTCAGTGCTGACGTGGGTGCCAGCGATGTTGCTGGCAAAGATGCTGTCCAGCGATGCCTGCTCCTTGACGTAGTGTTCATCCCGCGGGCCGATGTCCATGTCGTGCTGCTCGCCGTCATATGGCCTGCGGTCCTTGACGTGGTGTGAAGTCCGCTCATGGATGGACCCGTCGAAGTGCTGCTCACCGCCATGCAGGGTGCGGTCCTGCTGCTGCTGGTCCTCGTCGTGCTGCTCCTCGACGTGGTGCTGGACCCAATTCTGGTTGGCCGCGTCCAGCTGCCGCTCAGCGTCGTGCAGCTCAGGGTTCTGCTGCTGCTGCTTGACTTCGTCCTGCTCGTCGACGTGGTCGCCGATGTTCAGGCAGTCGTTGATCTCCGGCTGGTGGCTGATGTCCTGGTGGACGCCGAACTCCATCTGGTCGCCGCAGCCATGGAGGTCGCTCAACTCCAGCTTGTCGCCGAAGGTCGTGTGGCACGTGGACCCCAGGTGGAAGAACTCCCACGCCTCGGAGTGCGTCACAGTGCGGCCCCGGCCTGCCGCCCCGCGCGCCATGCGCGGCACAGTGCGGCCCCGCTGCAGTGAGGAGGGGTTCGGGATGCTCGCGAACGACCTTGAGCCAGCTTGAGCCAAAATGGCTACGGAAGGTCAAGCCCAAGTTCTTGATTTTCTGGCCGCGGTTTCAGCGGGATTAAGCCGGATTAGGCCGGATTGCGCCGGATTTCGGACCAGGGCACAATTTCAAATTTACCCCACAGGGGTTGCATCCGAACATGCCTGGCGGCACGGTGGCCAGCAGCCGCTCGAATTCCAGCAGCACTGCGAACTGCCGCAGGTGCTCCTCGGTCCGGGCCGCCCTCTGCTCCGGGCACTCTCCGAGGAAGAGCGGATCCGCCCCGGCCGCCACGCCGCGGGTGGCGCCGGGCACTGGGCCCTGGCCGGCGAGCCACTGTGCGTACCGGTCCAGCTGGTCCGCCGCCATCTCTCTGGCAGAGGGTGCGTGCCCGCTGGAACCGAAACGGCCATGGCCCAATGAGCGCCTCCAACATTGTTGATCGCTCTCTCCAGAGCAGCATGCCCATGGGAGCTCAGAGGTGCTTGCACCAGGGGTTCTTACGCGGTTGCCACGTACTTGGATGGGTGTGCCGAGGATTCGCCTGGCGCCCGCCCGTGGCCGCCCGTGGCCGCCTCGTGCAGTTGGTTGTGCTAAGGTTTTGCCTGGTGCCCACCGTATAGCTTGCACTGTGTAGCTTGCACCACTCAGCGTGCGCCACCTATCTTTTGCCACACAGCTTTCACATCATAGCTTACACCTCGAAGCTGGCACGACAGTGCACCTTTGACCACGCATGTTACACAACATTATCCCACCAGATCTCTGGGCGTAGGTGGTCTAGGGAGGCTCCTCTTCCAACCCCCTTCTTCCCCTTCGGGGAGGTGTTATCACCATTCCCTCTTAATATGCACCCCCTCCCCCAGGCGACCAGCAGCCAACCAGGAACCATGAGGACACCATGCTCACACCCCCCGACCCACCATCCCTGCCCAACACAAATAATGCAAAGTACTCTTTGGGTCTTGAGTCATGTTTGTGAGGCCCGCGAGCACCTTGTACTGTTGTTGACAGGGGCGGCGGGGGTGTCAGCATCTTCCCTGCTGTGCGCAGGGCTACCATCCCTAACACAACACAATGCAACATGCACTTCGCCGCTAAACCTGGATCATGCGCGGCCACCCCGCGATCACTGTCAAGTGGCTTCTCACAGGGACGGCGGAGGTGGTAGCGCATGGCATGCTGTGCGCAGGTCCACCAGACACAATGGTGGCATTGGTTTTCGATAAGGATGGTGGGGGCCGACATGTTTCCCGATGTGTGCTGTCACGTGCGCAGGCGCACTTGACGCACTCTGCAGGTGCCCTGAACGTGGCGCACCTGGCGCGGCTGGAGTATGCAGGACACCTGGCGCACGCGGAGCACGTGGCCTATCTGGCGCACGAGGCGTGCCTGGCATGCTCGGGCCCCAGGGGTGCCCATGGCGCGTGGCGCGCCTGGCACGCGTGGCGCACCTCGCCCCAACGTCGCGCACATGGGGTCGGTTTTGGTTCCCAGTAGGTGCCCATCCAAAGACGGCCGCTGAACATGCTCAGGCTCGGGTGTTACTTATGTGTTGGGAGGGCGGGTGGGAGTGAACTAGACGGCTTGCCATCTAGGAGGTGTCTTGATCAATGTTCCTTACCCAATAAGCACACCCACTCGGCCGGCGGCCAACCCCGAAGCATGCCGACTCCATGCGGGCCCGCCACCCACTAGACGGCTAGACGGCTTGCGGGCGGGTGGATAGCTTGACCCCTCCCCCTACCCCCTCCCCTGGACCTGGGTGGGGCGCCCCGCGAGCGGTCAGAGCATCTCAGATGGCCCACGACGGCTCCAAGAGGGCCTCAGAGAGCCCAAAATGACTTCCAAGATGGCTCAAGATAGCCCAAGATGGCTCAATATGGCTCGCGAGATGTTCCAGGAGGCCCCAAGACCGCTCCAAGACGGCTCCGAGTGGCCATGGAGCCTCCCCGGGAGGCCGCCAAGAGGCCCAAGCCCTTCAAAACTCAAAGAGTATAAATGACTTGTTGCATTCTCGTCTTTTCGCTTCCGATGGCCTTCCGAGGCCTCAAGACAGCTCCAAGAGGGCCTCTGAGGGCCCCAAGAGAAGCCAAAGAGAGCCGAAGACGGCACCAAGAGCGCCCAAGAGCTCCCCAAGAGGCGATTGTTGGGGCTCCCGAGGGGACGTAATTGAAGCTCCCATCTCTCTTGATCGATCTCCTCCAAGGTGGCCCCAAGAGCGCTCTCAAGGCTCCCAAGAGCGCCTCAGAAGGCCCCAAGAGGCGCCCGGGATGCCCCAAGAGGCGCCCAAGAGGCATCCAAGAGGCTCCCAAACGACCCCCAAAAGGCCCCAAGAGGCTCCTCGAGGCACCCAAGACGCTCCAAGAGGCCCCCAGGACCGCCAAGAGGCCCCCAAGATGCTCTAAGAGGCCTCCAAAAAGCTTCCGAGAGACATCCGAGGAGACTCTGAGAGGCAAATCGCCTGAGCATCGTTTCTGGATGGGCTGGTGGGATACGCGAAGCGAAGCGTCAAGGATTTTGCATCGCATGGTTTTCACAACATAGCCTACACCACCTGGCATAGCCTGAACCACAATGCCGAACCATCCACCATGCAACAACTTACTGGTCCGCACTGGCACAAACAATGCTCGAACATCTCGGCGCCCGGGCAACAGACGGACCCGCGTTCGCCTGTAGTTTCATCGCGTGCGATGCATCTGGCTTCTGGTAATGAGGCCTGCACATTCGGTAGAGGCTGTGCCCATGTCCCTGCCTTTTGCTGTGCCCGTGGCGGTGCCCGGCGCTACACGCACGCCAGTGACATAGAACTGATCCCGTGCTTGCACATGTCGCTGTTGCTTTGGAGCGGGCGAAAAAGGCATTACTATTTCGTTTGCGCCTCCTGGTGGCGACGGCGATCTCGAGGCGGCTAGCAGCGGGCTCATATGACGGCGACTGCGGGATCTCAGCTCGCACAGCCTGCGCGGGCGTGCGACCGCAGCACGAACGCCCCCTACATGATCTCCTGGGCGTCGTCCAGGGTCACAGTCGCGCCGCGAGCCTTCGATGTAGCTGGCTCCGCGTCCAAGGTGGTGACGTCATTCACAGCGGTGACGTCGTCCTCGCCGTCGCTGAGCAGCACCTCTGACTGCTGCGACTGAGGCGCGCTACGCGCTGCCTTTTTTGCGGCAATCCGAGCGGCGCGGGCAGAGAGATCAGCAGCCGCATTTCTCCTACGCTTCTCGCCGGGGGCCTCGTGGCGGCGGCGGCGGCCTTGGACTCCTCCGCCGCCTTCTTGGCCGCCTCCTCGGCCCTTCTAGTGGCGGCCTCAGCGGCGGCGGCGGCGCCAGCCCTGGCGGCTGCCTCGAGGTCGGGCTGACTCCCCGTGGCGGGCGCTGGCTCTGGTGATGGCGACGCCCTGGGCGCGGGCGCAGCCTCTGGCGCCTCCAGAGGGCCCTTGGCCGCGGCCGGCGCCGGAGCGACCACGGGCGTCTGGTCCGCCTGGGCTTCCCTATCCATCTCCGCCTGCATCTCCTCCATCTGCGCCATGATCTCCTCCTCCGTCTGGGCGATCTTCGCTTCTTGCGCTGCCGTCGGCGCCGCTGACGTCCGTGTCTCTGGCGCCGCGGCTGCAGACCCTGGTGGCGGCGGCGGCCCGGGCGGCGGGGGCGGCGCTTCCTCCGGCTCAACCCGCGACCAGCCGACGCCTTCCTGGGCTTTGGGCACCTGCTTCCCTCCAGTCAATATCCAGCTCTGCTGGTCGCTGGTCTGACCCTTCACGTCTTTCAGCTCACCTGCTTGGCAACCGTACCTGTCCTGCATGATCATGACTTGCTTCGGCATGTCCAGAGGCTTCTCCAGTGAGCTCGCTTTCTTTCTCTTCACTGGCTTGCTATCTAAGTCTGGCCACTTTACGTCGTTTTCGGAGAACCAATGCCGGGCTTCGCAGCGGGCCAGCCTGTAGGGATACGAGCCTCCGTCGTCCTTGATGATCTTGAAGACTTTGCCAACCTCGTTGGGCGCGTATCTCTTCATCAGGTCGTTTGCTACAATTTCCACGAAAACCGCCGAGCCCTTGGGGACTACGGCGTGTAAAACTGTTGCCCCTCCCCAAAGCCCTCCCCTGTCAGGCACGCTTCCATGTAAGCACTGCCCCCTTCCAACAGTGCTTGGGCGCCCGAAACGGTTTCCTGCGAAACACTTAGGGGGCGGTAGATGTGGTGTAAGCCTGTAGAAACCACGTCCGCAGGTGACGTGCTGAGCGGCAGCGTTTTCCGCAGATGCTGGGATGCAACATGTCCAACGTATGCAGGCATGGCGAAGTGGTACGTATCGAGCTGCTTGACACTCTCACGTAGCCCCCCCTGGTCCCCCCCCAGAGGCCACGCCGTCGATCCAAAAGTGGAGGACTCTTCTGGGCTCCAATACATGCACAATCGGAATGGAAATCTATGATTTGGGCCCCTGGGGCCACTTAGAGGTCTCAGAGGCCGTGGAGACGGCTCGATATGGCCTCAGTACGGGCCAAAACAGCCCAAAAGATGGCTCCAAGAGGGCCCAAAAAGCCCCCAAGACAGCCACGGCCCAAGAAAGCCCCAAGAGCGTTCCAAGACTGCCTTCAGAGGCCAACATCATTGATTTCCCGTCATGATCTCAATTATCTTAGCGTTCTCGCCTCTTTCGGCTATCAGAGGCCCATGACGGCCCAAGCAGCCTCCAAGATCGCCACAAAACGGCCCCGGAGGCACCCGAGAGGGGCAGACGGCCCAAGAAGGCCCCAAGACGACCCAAAGAGAACCCAAGACAGTCCAAGAGGCCCCCAAGACGGCCCAAGATGACCCCAAGAGAGACCGAGGCGGCCCAAACAGGCTCCCAAAACGGCTTCCAGAGAGGCCGGACGACGCCAGAGCGCCCCAACTGCCAAGTATGCCCCCAAGAGGTCCCGAGAAGCCTGAAAGAGACCCCGAGAGGCCCCCACCCAGGGGCCCCAAAGAGCCCTCCACGAGGCTCCCAAGAGGTTCCCAGGAGGCCCCACAACGACTGGATTGCAAGTGCTCCAGACGTGCACCACGCGAAGCCAAAGGAATCCACGTCTGGAGGTGACGTGCTGAGCGGCAGCATTGTTCGGCGAACGCCTGAGTGTAACGTATCCGCTGTATGCAAGCAGCGGAGAAGTGCTACATTGTGTACTGTGCATATATGACCACCCTGCGGGTGATCAGGAGGTTGGGGGGGGAGGGGGGCCAGCAATGGGCAACAGTGGTGCTTATTGCGTTGCCGCTCGCTCTTGGGAGCCTTGGTGTCGAGTTGTTTACGTCATCCTTCGCTCTTGGGCGCCTTGGTATAATTATCCCCCCCGGAACCAACGAAATAATGATTTGTTTAGTTCATTGTGCAAGGGCTTGGGGTGCCGTTTGGGCGCGTCTTCAGGACTTCTTGGGCTGGACCCAACGTCTCACCCAATCGATCTCATTGTGCAAGGGCTTGGGGTGTCGTGGGCGCCCCGTGCGCTGAGCGTGTGCGGCGAGGTTTCGCCCGGTGGGCGGCCGTGGCCGCCTGCGTGGGCACCAGATAATCCACACAGCTTGAACGACGCAGCTCACGCCTCAGAGCTCACACCATAGACACCGCATAACAGGGACTGCGCCTCCTCGCCTACCTCACCCGGATTACGCCACAGAGCTCGCACGAGGCAGCCCGTGCAACATCGCTTGCACAACAGAACTTGCACCGCACTGCCGCAGCCACAGAGCTCAACAAAACACAGCTCACACCACATGGAGTGAACAAGGAAAATGGCACCGAGCAGTTTTGTACACATCCACAGAGCACAAACTTACTGTGTTGGGTCCACAGGCAAACGCACACTACATCAAACTACATATATGTTCTGTCCTGGAAAGGTTGGCGAACCTAAGACGAAACTTGTGGTGCGTCCGCCCCCCCAGAATGTTTGAGCCAACGTTGCTTTCGTAGGGTGGGGGGGGGCACGAGGACAAGCAATGATTGGGAGCCCTAGCCTCGCCTCCACAGTAAGACAACGTAAGAAAGGATGTACTGAATCAGGCGAGCTGTCGCTCGGTATATCGTAGATAACAGCCCCAACTCTTGGCGGCATGGGGGCAAGGCCGAACGACATGCAGTTCTGGCCTCGCAGGAAAAGCAGCGCATAACACTGGCGGCAAACTCCAGAAGAAAGGAAGGCAAGGACGAAACATGTAATAGAACGAGATGTTTGAAGTACTGCTGGTACTGTGACAAAAGATAAAAACAAACTATGCAGAATACAAGCTCCAGCAAGTAACCGGACGCGCGCCCTGAGGGCCTCGCGTAAACTGGCCTGAACACCAAGCAAACATATTCGTGTCGTGCACATGCAACCTCCGAGTAGTCCGTGCCAAGCCCGACTTGGCCTGGAAGTGTGGCGTGGAGAAGGTGAGTATGCCACGGTGATGTGGAGGATCTACTGGAGACGAATTCACAGCGCCAATCGCTCTCCCTCTCTCTCTCCCTCCCCGTGCGCACGTACGCATGTCACCATCGCTCTCCGCCTCTCTACCCCTCTCTACCCCTCTCTCCCTCTCTCCATCTCTCTCTCTCTCTCTCTCTCTTTCTCCATTTTTTTTTTTGCTCTCTCTCTCTCTCTCTCTCTCTCTCTCCCTGTACCTCTCTCTGCCTCCCTCTCTCCCTCCGCCTCCCTCAGACATCCGTGGAAGCACCACGTGGGCCCGACCTCGCCCCCCATTGGCCCGCTGGGGGGCCGCGGCCTTGCAGCCACGCCGCCGCCGGCCGCGGCGGCGGGTGGCCTCTGGACTCCCCTACGCCGTCGGGGCGGCCGGGCTCTCCTTGATGGGCCTGTTGCCCACCACCACCACCCATAAGTTCGAGGGGGAGGGGGGTCTTCCTCCTCCTCCTCCTCCTCCCTCCTTCCTCCTCCTCCTCTCTCCTCCTCCTCCTCCTCGCCCTCCTCCTCCTCCTCCTCTCCTCCTCCTCCTCCTCCTCCTCCTCCTCCTCCTCCTCCTCCCCCTTCCAACTCCTCCCCCTCCTCCCCCTCCAACTCCTCCCCCTCCAACTCGTGGTGGTGGTGGCGGAGCACAGCTCACACCACATGGAGTGAACAAGGAAAATGGCACCGAGCAGTTTTGTACACATCCACAGAGCACAAACTTACTGTGTTGGGTCCACAGGCAAACGCACACTACATCAAACTACATATATGTTCTGTCCTGGGAAGGTTGGCGAACCTAAGACGAAACTTGTGGTGCGTCCGCCCCCCCAGAATGTTTGAGCCAACGTTGCTTTCGTAGGGTGGGGGGGGGGGGCACGAGGACAAGCAATGATTGGGAGCCCTAGCCTCGCCTCCACAGTAAGACAACGTAAGAAAGGATGTACTGAATCAGGCGAGCTGTCGCTCGGTATATCGTAGATAACAGCCCCAACTCTTGGCGGCATGGGGGCAAGGCCGAACGACATGCAGTTCTGGCCTCGCAGGAAAAGCAGCGCATAACACTGGCGGCAAACTCCAGAAGAAAGGAAGGCAAGGACGAAGCATGTAATAGAACGAGATGTTTGAAGTACTGCTGGTACTGTGACAAAAGATAAAAACAAACTATGCAGAATACAAGCTCCAGCAAGTAACCGGACGCGCGCCCTGAGGGCCTCGCGTAAACTGGCCTGAACACCAAGCAAACATATTCGTGTCGTGCACATGCAACCTCCGAGTAGTCCGTGCCAAGCCCGACTTGGCCTGGAAGTGTGGCGTGGAGAAGGTGAGTATGCCACGGTGATGTGGAGGATCTACTGGAGACGAATTCACAGCGCCAATCGCTCTCCCTCTCTCTCTCTCCCTCCCCGTGCGCACGTACGCATGTCACCATCGCTCTCCGCCTCTCTACCCCTCTCTACCCCTCTCTCCCTCTCTCCATCTCTCTCTCTCTCTCTCTTTCTCTATTTTTTTTTGGCTCTCTCTCTCTCTCTCTCTCTCTCTCCCTGTACCTCTCTCTGCCTCCCTCTCTCCCTCCGCCTCCCTCAGACATCCGTGGAAGCACCACGTGGGCCCGACCTCGCCCCCCATTGGCCCGCTGGGGGGCCGCGGCCTTGCAGCCACGCCGCCGCCGGCCGCGGCGGCGGGTGGCCTCTGGACTCCCCTACGCCGTCGGGGCGGCCGGGCTCTCCTTGATGGGCCTGTTGCCCACCACCACCACCCATAAGTTCGAGGGGGAGGGGGGTCTTCCCTCCTCCTCCTCCTCCTCCTCCTCCTCCTCCTCCTCCTCGCCCTCCTCCTCCTCCTCCTCCTCCTCCTCCTCCTCGCCCTCCTCCTCCTCCTCCTCCTCCTCCTCCTCCTCCTCCTCCTCCTCCTCCCCCTTCCAACTCCTCCCCCTCCTCCCCCTCCAACTCCTCCCCCTCCAACTCGTGGTGGTGGTGGCGGAGCACAGCTCACACCACATGGAGTGAACAAGGAAAATGGCACCGAGCAGTTTTGTACACATCCACAGAGCACAAACTTACTGTGTTGGGTCCACAGGCAAACGCACACTACATCAAACTACATATATGTTCTGTCCAGGGAAGGTTGGCGAACCTAAGACGAAACTTGTGGTGCGTCCGCCCCCCCAGAATGTTTGAGCCAACGTTGCTTTCGTAGGGTGGGGGGGGGCACGAGGACAAGCAATGATTGGGAGCCCTAGCCTCGCCTCCACAGTAAGACAACGTAAGAAAGGATGTACTGAATCAGGCGAGCTGTCGCTCGGTATATCGTAGATAACAGCCCCAACTCTTGGCGGCATGGGGGCAAGGCCGAACGACATGCAGTTCTGGCCTCGCAGGAAAAGCAGCGCATAACACTGGCGGCAAACTCCAGAAGAAAGGAAGGCAAGGACGAAGCATGTGATAGAACGAGATGTTTGAAGTACTGCTGGTACTGTGACAAAAGATATTAAAACAAACTATGCAGAATACAAGCTCCAGCAAGTAACCGGGCGCGCGCCCTGAGGGCCTCGCGTAAACTGGCCTGAACACCAAGCAAACAGATTCGTGTCGTGCACATGCAACCTCCGAGTAGTCCGTGCCAAGCCCGACTTGGCCTGGAAGTGTGGCGTGGAGAAGGTGAGTATGCCACGGTGATGTGGAGGATCTACTGGAGACGACTTCACAGCGCCAATCGCTCTCCCTCTCTCTCTCCCTCCCCGTGCGCACGTACGCATGTCACCATCGCTCTGCGCCTCTCTACCCCTCTCTACCCCTCTCTCCCTCTCTCCATCTCTCTCTCTCTCTCTCTTTCTCCATTTTTTTTGTTTTGCTCTCTCTCTCTCTCTCTCTCTCTCTCTCTCTCCCTGTACCTCTCTCTGCCTCCCTCTCTCCCTCCGCCTCCCTCAGACATCCGTGGAAGCACCACGTGGGCCCGACCTCGCCCCCCATTGGCCCGCTGGGGGGCCGCGGCCTTGCAGCCACGCCGCCGCCGGCCGCGGCGGCGGGTGGCCCCTGGACTCCCCTACGCCGTCGGGGCGGCCGGGCTCTCCTTGATGGGCCTGTTGCCCACCACCACCACCCATAAGTTCGAGGGGGAGGGGGGTCTTCCTCCTCCTCCTCCTCCTCCCTTCCTCCTCCTGCTCCTGGCCCGGAAGGCCAGGGCCTCTCGGCGTTCGGGCCTCCAGCACGTGGGTGACTCCTGGAGGACCAGCTCAAGATCTCGTTCTCGCTCTTGTTGACCTTGCCTCCTGCCCTCGAACCAGTAGTCTAGCCTACCTTGGGGAGCCACGTGTTGCCCCCAAGTCCGGAGAAGAAGGCGGCGTTCCCGTCCATTCCCAGGTCGAACGCAAGACGGAGGATGTCCTTGTTGTACGCTGCGTACATATACCACGCATGGATCGCATCGGCACCTGGGCTCCAGCACATGTAGTTCTGTCTCGTGTTGTAGTTCTGGAGGAGGCCTGGCTTGTGCTGCAGCGAAGTGAGCTTACTGGACCACCTGAAAAAGTCACCTCCGTGCTCCACGAGGAGCCTGACGCACTCCACATTGTTGGATCGAACGCCCTGGATGAGCGGAGCCATGTCCAAATTATTTGGCGAGTTGGCATCGGCACGAATCTCGAGAAGGAACTTGATCTTGTCTACATATCCTGCCTGCGCTGGTCCAGCCAAAATGCTGTTCCCCTGACCCGTCAGATTCCAAAACGGTCGCTTCATGGTCACCCCAACCTTGGCATGGATGTCGGCAGAGGCGTTGATGAGCAGCTTCATGCACTCCAAACCTTTCTCGCCGTTGTCCATGTCTGCAGCCATCGAGAGTGCAGTACAATTCTCCGCACTCTTGGCGTTCACCGAAGCCTGGTGCACGATGAGGGCGTTCACGAGTTCAACCCTGCCGCATGACGCAGCAAGCATCAGAGGAGTTAGGCCTGATGCAGGATCTGCGAAATTCACGTCGACATCAGTAATGCTCAGGGTCCCATCCCAGGCCTGTTAGGCGGCGCGCCCGGGGGGAAATAAGAAGCGGCGGACCTTCTCAGAAGGCTCGGACATCCCCGAGCCTTCTGAAAAGGTTTCCAAGGTTTTCCCCGAAGAAGCAACATGCTTCTCAGAAGGCGCGAGGGCTTCTGAGAAGTCACACCGCCTTCTGAGAACGCCTCTCCTTCTCGCTCGCCCTCCTGCTGGCCTGCAGAGTGCCATGTCTCTGGTCCTCTCACTCGGGACTCTCTCACGTCGTCCTAGTCGTTCCTATTGGCGGCGAGCGAGTGGGGGAAATGGGAAGGAGAAGGCCCTCTCAGAAGCGAAGGGGCCTTCTCAAACGCCCTCGCGCCCTCTGGGAAGTTGTCTCTGTCTTCTGGGAAGGCTCAGGAAACTTCTCGGAAGCCCGGGGGGCATCCGAGCCTTCTGAGAAGGCTTTCTCCTTCTCGTTGCCCCTCCTCCTCCTCCTCCTCCTCCTCCTCCTCCTCCTCCTGCTCCTCCTCCCCCGCGCTCGCCGCCGATCCTGTGCTCGCGTATGACGCGAACGGCATCCCACTTCTTCCCCATGCTGGCGAGCGCAAAGAGAAAGTGCCCGTCATCACAGACCAGGCACGGATGGACGCCCTTGTTTGGACGCCCGAAATGGGCACTGAAAGAATGGGTACAATGCCCAGCAACAAATGTTGTCCCGAACTAACAGCGGCCGCTGTTGGGCAGGCGGCCTTCTGTCTCAGATGGACACAGGCCGCGGCGGCGCGGACAGCGAGCCCTGTTCAAAATGAACAGGAACTGCTATTGGGCATCGTACCCATTCTTTCCGTACCCATTTCGGGCGTCCAGACCTTGGATAGCAGCGTGTCGAGCACGACGAGGTTTGGCAGACTGGCCGCATGCCTCAGCACTGCGCCGACGCCATTCAAACGCCAACAATTACTGTCAACAAGGGTGGGGACCATGACCCGTGCAAGGAAGTTGGAACCATGGAACCACCTCTTGTTGCAGTCCCTGTTGTCCCAGACGACGTCTGTCTCGTACTCGTCCCAATTGATTGCAGCGACCATGCTACTCGCGCCGTCTCCCACCCAAGGCCGGTGGTCCATAGGGGTTCCCTTCAACACCATGTTCAGCACCAAATAAGTCAAGGGAAAAGGAAGGCAAGGTGTAATAGAGATACTCCCAACCTTCAAGAGTGCACGCTCGTCCTCGGCCAAGATTGCGCAGTACTCCTCGAGAGTTTCTGAGTCCAACATCTCGAAGACGTGGAACCACACTTGCAACCACCAGTTCTCAGACAGCCGCTCTCGGTCCAAACACTGTGCGCTGTTAGACAGGATTGCATTTACATATGCTCGCATGTTCTTTTGGGAGCGGGCGTGGCTAACAACTGCCGAGCAAAACTCACCGCACATCAGCTCCTGGAATGACAGATGCGTCAGTTGTACCTCTGGCTCCGCGTCGATCGCTTCAACTTTTTCCAGGATTGGCATGCGACCCTGCTGGAAAGCATCCTTCAGCACCTCGATCATACTGCAGTCGTCTGAGGCCTGCTCCACAGCTGGCCACGTTGTCGCACGCTGCCTCAACTGGTGCAGATAAAACGACATAGACTGGAAGAGCTGTCGTGCCCTCACGCTCTTCAACATGTCTAGCCGGCGAACCATCGCCTGATCACTGGCTCCATCACGCATAGCGAACTTCGCAGCGTCGGATTGGTGCAACAGGAGCTTCACAGCGCGCTGGTAGATATCGGTCTTCTTCATGGCTTCCTGCTTTGGGCGATCACGCGTCAGGGGACCACTCTTGCCGTCTGCACACGACGATTGAAACTTCCGCAGAACATGGATGAGCAAGGTCAAGATGAGAGGGTTCTCCCTGAGACTGGAATAGCCCGGGTCCGCGACGCTGCTGCGGACAGCGCTGATCGTCTCGTGCGTCTCCTGGGCGCGCGCCAGCGTACGCTGCACGACGTCTTCGGCCTGCGGGAGGGTGAGCGCGCCCATCTGGAACGACACGAAGCCGAGCGCCGCGAGCAGGTCGTACTCCACGGATCCCAGGTTGCCCGGCCTCGACGTAAGGACACAGAGGTGTGACGGCTCGCTCTCCAGGACCGACCGGACATATTCCAGCACCTGGAACCGAGAGGAAGACGCCTCATCCAGTCCGTCGAACAAAAGAAACAGTGCTTTGATGTCCTTCGACTCGCGGGCTGTATCTTGTGCTTCCGTGGGCGCGCGGTGGGCAGCACTCAGGCACCAATTTCGCACCTCGTAGACCAGCTTGTGCGGGATGGAGTCGTGGCCATGCTTTCTCTGCATCCACTCGGACAGCAAATCGCATACCGGGTCTGCCCCCAGCGGCAGGTCCGGGTCGGCCTCGAGCTGCCTGGCCAAGTCGATCAACGGCGTCCGGACGGGGATGAGATTCATGCCGCTGATACTCGCGGTGCCCGCCATGTCCCCTACACGCAGAAGGCACCTCCCATACATCACCACGAAGAACCCAAACTGAAGGGGCCCTGGAACACACAAACTAATAGACACAAATAACAGGATTCCGCATATTTTCTCTTCCCCCCAAATTCCCATATTTTGAGTGCAGCGGCAACGGCTTCCGGAAATCCATCCGACCGATAAACCGATAAACCGATAAAAACTAATCGGTTGAACGGTTTGCAAACCGATCAACCGATAAACCGATATAATCATATCGGTTTATCGGTCGATCTGCCGATAAACCGATCAACCGATAATCTTCGTATGCGAACATAGAGGCGATTGCTGGCGCGCCCTCCTCTCTTCGTCGGTTTATCGGTTTATCGGTTTATCGGTTGATCGGTTTATCGGTTGATTGGCTGGTCTGAGACCGCTGGGGGGAACCTGTGGAGGCGATCCTTGTGCCACATATCGGTTTATCGGTTTATCGGTTTATCGGTTGATTGTCAGTTCCCCGCCACGACGACGACGGCGACGGCGACGGCGACAGTGGCCGGACCGCCATGGGGCAGGGCACCTCCGAAGTCAGAGGTGCGAGGGCGTCTCAGGCACAAGTGGCCTGAACACCGCATCTCGGGGAAGATCGGGGGTCAGACTACGTGAAGGCAGGGCGCATCCCAGGTCAACGCTGCGAGTTTTTGCGCAGGCGGAACTGGCCAGCACAATTTGGGGCAGGGAAGAATATCAGAGGTCAGCGTTGCGAGGATGTCTCAGGATGAGGATGAGGAAGGTCATGCTGATGATAATGATGGCGATGGCGGCAGCCGCGCGGGAGGCAAAATCTGGCGGGGCAAATTTCGGCGGGAAGCAAGTGCGAGGATGGCTCAGGCGATGGTGGCCAGATTACTTCAACTCAAAGAAGATCGGATCCCAGAATGCTGCGGATGCTTTAAGCGGGATGCGCCGGTGTGGTGAAGATGTCCCAGGCGAGAGCGCTAATAATCACTTGTCGTGGTCGTCGTTGTCCTCCTCCTCCTCCTCCTCCGTGTCCTCCTCCACCCTCTCCTCCTTTCAGAGTCAAGGGCGCGCGATTGCGGTAAGCCGCCGTGAGGCGCTCTAATTGGACGGATTGCCACGGTGAGGCAAGGATATGAGGGGGTAGCCAGGAGTCGGAGGACACCCCAGCGTCCTCATCCCATTCGTCCCCTCAATGATGCGCTGTCCCTTCTCGGGACTGGGGGGGCAAGGAACACCTTCGTAGTGGGTCTGATGTGCCGGGCCATCGAACATTCATTTGCGTGGCAATCGAATCGGTCACCCAGGATGCCGGTTCTGCCTCGACGAAGCCTCATGGACGATGCTGGGGTTCTTCCCCTCTAATCCCATGGTGGGGCTCGCCAGCCACCGGCGCTTGATACCCGGTCCCCCCTTGGGCGTTGGTACCCATAAGCCAATCGACTTCTAACAAGCTCCTCCTCCTCCTCCTCCTCCTCCTCCTCCTCCTCCTCCTCCTCCTCCTCCTCCTCCTCCTCCTCCTCACCTCTGCCAGCCGAGCCGGGCCGAACCGCAGGCGGGCCAGCCAAAACGGGGACGAGGACGAGGATGAGGAGGAGGACGACGTCGACGACGACGGCAACGACGACGACGACGACGGCGACGGCGACGGCGACGGCGACGGCGACGGACGACGGACGACGACGACGACGACGACGACGACGACGACGACGACGACGACGACGACGACGACGCCGCCGCCGCCGCCGCCGCCGCCGCTCTCGTCGCCGTCTTCGCCGCCGTCGTCATCGTCGCCGTCGTGGCGCACCCCTCGACTTCGAATCCGTCCAAAACGGGTCCTCGGACCCACCAAGACCGGCCCCAGGACTTCACTGGATCGACTCGGGGCTGCCCAACAAGCTCCCTCTTGCAGAAAACGCCCCGCCAGATTTCGCTTCCCATACATTCGGCCCTCCTCTCTGTTCCCCAAATGCTCGCTTCCAGACTCGAATCCGACCCCCTTGCCCTCCCTCCCTCACGTATCCACCCCTTCCCCCTTTTTCACTCCGCATGCAGATCTGACGGCCGACGGCCAAGAATCCGAGCATATGCCCCAGGCCATCGGCGTCGAAGATGCCCGAGATGACCTCCGAGACGGTCTAAGTCAGCGTCCCAAGCCACCAATATGGCCAAGCATGGACCCAAGACGGCCCGATAGAGCCCCATGACTTCACTGGACGGCTTCGGGACCGCCCAAGAGGCTCTGAAAACGGCCGAAGACCAGGGCTCAAGAGGATTTCCTCGGACCCAGGGATCCCCACCGAAACCGAAAACATCCTCTCACCGCCGAGCCCAACTCTCGCACAGAATGCCCCGCCAGATTTCGCTTCCCGTAGACTCAACCCTCCTCCCCTTTCCCGAAGAGCCCGCTTCCCGACTCGAATCGATCCCTCCCTCCTACGGTCCTCCTCGTCGTCATCCTGCTCCTCCTCCTCCTCCTTTTCTGCGTTCCGACCCCTCCTTTGGTGTTGGATCCTCGTTTTGAAAACGCATCCACCGCGTCATCGTCGTCCTGCTCCTCCTCATCACCCTCGTCGTCAGCATCGCCACAATCATCGAAACCATCAACAACATCATCACCATAGCCGTCATCATCATCGTCATCATCGTCCTGCCGCATGGCGGCCCTGGCCAAACATGTTTCGTGCCCCCATAGGGAACTCCACCGAAGTCTATGCGGTTCACTGGGCACGGCCGCCGCCGCGGCGGGGAAGGAGGAGGGGGATGATGATGAGGAGGGGGAGGAGGAGGAGAACGACGATGATGATGATGATGACCGTGGCAATGACCACGATGATGACCGAGATGATAATCGTGATGATGGTGACGGTGATGGCGATGGCAATGATGGTGATGATGACGATGATGATGCCGCGTTTCTGCGCCCCCGGCCGCGCGCGGGGCTGCGCAGCCACCAGTGAGTCCACTCCCACTGCCCCGCTGCGAAAATGCCGCGGGCAGCTTTCGACACCCAAGAACCGCAGCTCCCGCCGCGCCACAACCGCAGCTCCCGCCGCGCATATCGCCACTAGAACGTCGTTTCGCCGCGGGCGGGGACAGCTCGCGCCGCCCAGATCGCCACCCAATCGCGCAGCTCTCACCGCGCAGCTCTCGCCGCGCCGCTCTCGACGAGCAACTCTCGCCGCGCAAAAGCGAGACCAGCTCAATCTTCGAAAGAATCGGCATTGAGCTGCAAGCTTACCGCGAAGGCGGAAGCGACTTCGTTCGCCAGAACGGTCGCCCAAGGGTTCTTCCTGAACCTGAGGACGCGCCGGCCCCGCCTAGCCCGCGGGGCGGCGTCTGCGCCGTCCTCGGCGGCAGGGGCACCCGCGATGATCTCGACCACCCCGGCCGCTGCTGCTGCTTGGATGGCCCCGTGCACCCGGCCAGCCACATCCCTCTCGCCACGAGCCATGAGCCGAGCGCGCACCCACGTGAGGGCATCGCCAGAAGTCACGACGCCACGGCACCGCGGATCCGCAGGAATCAAGTTGCCCGCCAGCATGTCAATGGGCAGCTGGGCCGCGCGGGGCCGAGGCGCCCCGGCCCCCGCGGGAGCGGGCCTGGGCCCGTGCACGGCGCCCCACTTTGTGTGCGCGATGTACAGAACTCAAGTTGGCCACGCCAGCAGCGTGGATGGCATGGCACAGCTGGGTGCGCTCGGGGCCGAGGTCGCCCCGGGGGCCCGCGGGAGCGGGCCTGGGCCCGTGCGACGTGTGCTCGCCCCTAAGAAGTGGCGCGATGGTACAGACGACGTTGGTCGACCGCCAATGTCTGTGTCGGCGATGGCACAGATTTTCGTGCAAGAGCGCGCAGGTTGGGGCCCCCTCCTCGACGTCTCGCAGCGGCGAAGTGTGCTCTATGCCGCTCATGAAAAGCCACATCCGGACATGGACAGCTGGTCAACCGCATTATCGAAGCTGTGTCGGCAATTGCATTTCTGGGGTCCCAGTTGAGCTGGTCGAGGCCTGGATTCATCGTCTATGACAAAATCGATGGACTGCTCGGATGTTGCCCTGATACATGGACACCTGGCGAGAAACCAAAGAAGCATTGACGCACTTCCTGCTATGGGGCAGGGCATTCTGACACATCCAAGACATGAACGCTGTCAACAAAATCGTGGACTGCTCGGTGTTCTGCGTCGGGTGGCCAGCCGCCTCGCCAAACCAAATGGTATTGAACCTCTTGCGGAAGCCAATGGAATCACGCTGGAGCACCTCCTCGACCGCTGGAATCTGCCCCCGCACCTGGTGCAAGAACCCGTAGGTGCCCAAATTAACGGTCCCATGCCCAGTCATAGTAAAAACAAAAAAAAAAAAGGAATAAAAAAAAAAAATAAAAAGGAAAAAAAAAAAGAGAAAAAGAAATAAAAAAAAAAAACAAAAAAAAAAAAAAAAATTAAAAACAAAAAAATAAAAAAGTAAAAAATAAAATAAAATCTAAATAAAAAAACACAAAAAAAAAAAAAAAAAAGTCAAAGAAAATACAAACATAAGAAACCCCCCAGCACAAAGTGATGCTGCGCTCGCCGTTGACGAACTTGAGCATCGTCGGCTTTCCCGCGTAGTGACACCCGCGCGACCCCTGGCTGAAGGTGGTGTCGTAAGCCGTCGTGATTTCGTCGTTGACCAGCCCGCTGCGCTCATGCGTCGAAATACAATTCAACAATCCTCTCAGCGTGGCGTCACCGCAGGTGCAAGCCTGCAGCTGCCGCCCCTCGTCAGTGTCGTCCAGCAGGCTGACCGAGACGAAGCGGGCGAGGGAGGTCTTGCGAGTGGATGGCATAGCCGCGCCGAAGATCGCAATCGTCGGCTTGCGGGAGCGCGTCTCATCCGCAGTTTCCTCGAGCACCGTGGCGTGGTGCTCCAACCTGCCCGCGTTGCTCATGATACCTTTCATGAGCGCTTCGAGCTGCCAACCCTCGCGCGACGCCACCGCGACGACTGCTGTGCGGAAGGGGCGCGGGAGCAGGAGCCGAATTGAGAAGCTGGGATCCATTCCCACCTCCTTGTGGTCCCTAGGGTCCGCCAGCATCTCGCCCAGCCACTGCTTGGCTGTCTCTCGGGCCCCCCGCTCGTCCTGCAAGCCGTTGAATAAGCCCGTCGGATGCAGGGCGGTTCGGAAAGCGGCGGCATTCGGCACGGCGTCGAGGGCGCGAATAGCAGCCAAGGACGGGTCTGGCACCGGGGCCCCGTCGCCGCCAGCCGCCGTGTTGTCAGTGAACGTGAAACCGAAATCGGCATCCGTGGTGGCAGGGCCTTGCGGCCGCGACGGCTGAGACTGTGATGGGGATATGGACTGCGACAGCCCCCTGCCAATGGGCGACGCGGCCGGGACGACGGCCGTGCCAGTGGGCGACGCGGCCGGGACGATGGCCCCACCGGGCGACTCGGGCTGCATGATGGGCGAATCGGCCACGACGCGGGGAGGCGGCGACCTGGAGCGGCGGTTCTCCCTGGTGATCCTGCGCTCCCCCCCCTGGGTGAGGGGGATCCGGAAGACGGCTGCGCGCCTGTGACCTGCTGCCGCTGACGACCCACTGCTGCTGACGACCTGCTGCCGCTGCAACCTGGCGGCCTCCATCGACTGGAGCTGGCGTTCCGTGGTCCTGCACTCTGGGCATGGAAAAGTAGCGAAGTCCAGGCCGTGCACTTGCATGTGCGCGTTGACGCACTCTGCTTGCAGATGGCGCAAGAAGCGGCCATACCGATCTGCAGCTATCGCCGCGGACCCGCAATAGTGTGGGTGGCCGCAGATCTGCAGCTATCGCCGCGGATCCGCATTAGGACACGCGACGCCAGCAGCTTTCGCCGCAGCTCGCGCTACAGTGATAACCTGATACGGCTAAGACCGAGGGGGGAAGGAGAAGGAGGATGGGGGAGGAGGAGAAGGGAAATGCGACCCCCCCAAAGCCCAGAGAAGGAGAGGAAGGGGGAACTGGAGGCACCCCCGCCAAAGCGCTGTAGAAACCGAAAACGTCCTAGCCCGAAATGCCCCGCCAGATTTTGCTTCCCACAAACCCCGCCCTCCCCCCGCCACTCCTCCCTCCACCCCTCCTTCCCAACTCCAAACCCCCGTCCCCATCCCTATTCCCTCCACCCCTCCATCCCCTCTTTTCTCAAATGCCCCTTCCCGAATCGAATCCAACCCCCCCTGCCTCCATCTCTCCTTCCCGCCCTCCCCCCTTTCCAGTTTTTCTTTCTGGATGGGCCTGGGCACTGGGCGTCGGGGCCAGTGAGGGAGGGAGGGGGGAG